ATATATATATACTTAATTATTTGTAAGCTGTATAGAGCTTCATTACAAAATTTCATCAATGGCTGCTTAGTTTAGTGGCATAATACTTGTCTTGTAAACAAGGGGTCCTGAGTTCGATTCTCAGAGCAGCCAATCTTTTTTCTAAATTTTAGATTATATCTTCCAAGAGATCGAAAAAATTTTATCTTCAGAGTTGCCGCTCCGGGAATCCCATGCAGTGTGTAATGTTTAAAAAAAAAAACATTAAATAAAATTTTACTGATTAATTTAAAGCATTTGCTTCTAATTATCTTCACTTTTAAAAAAAAAGTTATAATTATATCTCAAACTAAATAGGTTAACATCATATAAAATCTTTTTATAAATTAAGTTTTATCAAATAATTTTAGCACTGTCCAACAGCTTTTTAAAAGCTATATCAACGTATAGTAATTATACACCACAAAACATAGATCAAAAGAAATTAGATCGCATTAAAGATCTTTAATCTTCTATCTCGGCAATCTCCAATCTTCACCAATTTGTCTTTTTAAAAGCCAATCCAACCACAAACATTTTTCCCACCACCATCTTCAAACATAAAACCAATCATATTAGATTTATCCAAAGATTGGAAAGATATGGAAAAAAAGGATTTTTCCCATAATAATTTCAATAGCGTTGAAGATATACTCTTATCAAGCATCTCTATAATTCAAAAAAGTGTTAAAGATATTATTGATCGAGAAAACAAACTATCCACTTATGAAAAAAATGGAAACAACATCAATCTAAGATTATACTACCCAAACCACCAAATATCAGATGAGCATATAACTCATTTCAGCAAGTACACAGATATAGAAAAGATCTCATTCGACAAAAAGAAAAAGAAAACTCTCTTTATCTCTCTCTCAAAAGAGAACCTATATAACCTCCTTAATGAAAGAGATACCACCAACAAGATGAACAAGTTCATCACACACTGCGACGATTACCATATGGTAATTGGAAATATCAACTCATCCAATCAAGACATTGAAAAAGTGTTAAAAGAACAACTTAACCTAAAAATTGACTTCTTCCTTTCTCACATCAAAGTCAACAAAAACAATACCTCCTTTTTCCACCTCATCGAAAGCAAAAACAACCCAATCAAATCAAAGCTACTCCAATCACCATACTATCGTATTAAGATTAAGTCTGCAACAAAATCAAAAAATCATCCTAACAACAAAATCAATCAATTAATCAATGAAGATATGTCCAGGGTCTCCACTGATAAAGAAGTTGATAACAACATTACCAAAATGAATCAATTAATCAATGAATATTTTTCGGGGTCCGCCACTGATAAAGAAATTGATACCATCACTACCATAATGAATCAAATAATCAATGAAGATTCGTCGGGGATCTACACTGATAAAGAATTTGAGAACTTCATTACCATATTCAATCAAACGATCAAAAATGATTGTGCCGACTCTAATGATCAAGATGATGATCACAAAGAAACTATTTCTGATAACGAATCTAACAATCCAACTAACACATTAGATAAAAATGAAATATCTAATGATGAAACAAACAAACAAATAAAAAACCAATCACCTCAAGATGACTATAAATCATCAACCAACAAACCCTTAAGAACATCCAGGGTTAACGCACTAAACAACATCTTTACAAGATTAACTTCACAAAATTCCAAAAATGAAACCGCCATAACAAATACGAAAACCACTACAAAAAGTAACCGTACTCGAAATGTTAGCCAAATATCCACACCAATCAAATCCACTACGTACCAATCAGGTAGTCCGAAATCACCTGCTATTGAACAAAAATCTAAGAAAAAAAAAACTTCTTAAACTAGATAGGTTGATTCAACCATACCCCAACCCTCACTACTTCTTAAACTAGATAGGTTATTCCAACCTTACCCCAACCCCTACTTCTTCTTATATTTTAATATAAATAAACACTGTCGCTTACACTAATAATATTTATTATATTATTAAGTAAGCTTTTTTTAAAAAAAAAAAAAAAAAAAAAAAAAAAAAAAAAAAAAAAAGGCCTTTTTCTTACATTTATCCCCCTTTTTAAAAAAAAAAAAAAAAAAAAAAAAAAAACAAAAACGGGGGGGCTTTACTTTGTTTTGAAAAATATGGGTGTTAGTTTTCCCAACCCGAAGGGAAGTTTTGGGTGGGTATCGGGCCCCATTATGGAATACGGGGGGCCAAAATTTAAAAAATAAAATCATATTTATATAAGAATATTTTAAAAAAGCATTTCTATTAAGATTGATATAAAATAAAAATAATTACATTATAAAAATATTATAAGGATTGATTAAAAACCAACTTAAAATTTATTTATTTAGTTTATTTTATTTAATTAAATTTATTTACAATTTTAATATTTTATATTATTTAAATATACAAAAAATATTGAAATTTTTATATATTATTATTATCATTATTATTATAATTATTATTTATATTATTATTTATTCTTGTCTCTTGCATTGTTTTTAATAAATTTTCCATAAAATTAGCAGCTGGAATATCTGAAGAAGTTGATTGAAGTCGATGTTGTTGGTCTAAAAAACTTTGTTTTTCTAAATTTTGTTTTTCTTTTTGTTGTTGGAGTAAAAATTGTTGCTTTATTTGAAGAGGACTTGGATGCTTATTTATTGGTGGCGGTTTCTGATGAAATTGCGAATTTGATTTTACCAATTGCTTATTATTAATAAATCTACGACCTTTATTATTATTGTTATTATAATTATAGTTTGGAGAATATGTTGAATTTGGTGAATTTAACGAACTTGGTGAATTTGGTGAACTTGGTGAATAAGGGGGAGTTGAGTTAAATTGGGGTGAATTTGGGGATGATAAGCTATTTGGAGAAGATAAATTACTACTGTTGGAACTACCCCCATTACTATAGTGTTTTCTTTGATAATTTTGATTCATATTTCTATTCATATAATTATTTATATTATTATTATTATTATTTATATTACTATTATTTATATTATTATGATGATGATGATGTTTTTTATGTGTTTTATTATAATTTTCTAAATCATGTTTTGATTCTTTTGGTAATTCCCATTCTTCTAAACATTTATTTCTAATTTCAGTTTGGTCGCATGGTGGTAACTCCCTATCCTCAATATATTTTTTGAATAGTTCAAAAGCTTTAATTTGCCTTGAGCAAATATCAATATTTGTATCCATTACATATCTTAAAAACTCTTGATCCATAGATGCAATTGAAATAATTTCTAAAACTAAAATACCATTATTCATCTTATCGTTGATGGAATAAAGAAAGTCAATAACTTTTTGTGGACGATAAGTTGAATAGTTTTTGGCGATAATATAACGTTCTGAATTTAAAGGTCTACTTGTATAAGGTTTGCAAATTGAAAAAGTTTCGAAATGTTGATATACTAAATATATAAGACCAATTGTGAATGGTGTATAGGTATCAAATATTTTACAAACAAAACTTCCACCTTTACCTAGAGTTTCAAACATTGTTAAAATTTGACATAAAATTAATTGTGCGAGTAAAATTTCTTGTTGATTCTCTTTTCCCTCGGTACTAACGCCACCATCTGCCATAAACAAATGTAAGCCTATGCCGTTGGTATATTCAAAAATATTATTTGAGAAATTCTTTATATTTGCCGAAAACAATATATTACCTGTACCATCCAAACCATATTCTTTTTTAAAATTATGAATTGGGATTTGTTTTGAAAATCTCTCTATGTTCCAATCACATTTACCACGAATTGTAAACCCAAATCCCTTAACTATATCATCTAACTCTAAAACACCATTACCACTATTGTCCTGTTGCTCTAATAACTTGCCTCCTTTTGTTTTTTTCCAATAAACATACTCTGTAAATCCACCAGGCCCAGCACATACATCTGCAAAATATAAAAATTCATTCTAAAAAGAAAACTCATTAATAAACCTATTTGTTTTTTTTTTTGAATGATATTTTGGTTACTTACAGGTTTTCCCTTGATAGGTATCAATGGTGTTAATAAATTTGCCAACTTATCTATATTTGCCATTTTAACTGCAGCTCTATTTATAAAAATTGAGCCTTTAATAGCCTCGTATGGATTTGACTTTTTTCTAGCTTGATAAAATAATCTACTGTCCAAATGATCAAGTGCAGTTTTATGTTGGTCCAATTCCAACATTAATTCAATTGAGCAATGACCTCTTCTTGGATTATCGATTCCTGGATTACCAATAACAACATCCTCCTCTTTCAATTCGATTCCACTGCCAGTATTTGATATCCAATTAATTGTTTGTTCATGAGGGAAATCTAAATCGTCGTCTTGTAACTCGTGTTTTTGTAATGTATAAAATGCTGGTAATTCCTTTTCAACAAAACCCAAACCTTTAGTTGATTGCATCTGGTCAACCTCGATAATATCTGTCCTACCAGTTTTATCTTTCCCTAAACCCTGTCCTTCAACATAACCTTGTTTTTTCTTTTGGATACCCAAAAGTAAATTTTATAACGTTAATACGTATTTCTGCATTTTAAATATATAAATAAAAGAAACTATTTACCAAAAACATTAAACCAAACTTAGATGATACATCTTCTTCCTCTTCCTCATCGTCTTCCTCATAAACAAAACTGCTATCATCATCCTCGTCCTCCTCTTCCTCTTCATCGGTGGAAGAGTCTCTATCTTGATTATAACTATATTGATGTCTGTTTTTATCTATTTCAGTTTCATCTTCTTCATTATAATAATAACTATATTGTTCCATATTGGAACATTAATAAATATATATAGTACTATTATTTATAGAAAGAAAAATAAAATTATTATTTAAATTTTTTTTAAATTAAACAATTTTTATAAAAAAAAATAAAAAAAATAAAAAAAAAAAATAAAAAAAAAATAAAAATATATTTTAATTTTATTTTTTTTATTTTTTATAAAAGTTAAATTTTTTTTATAATTTTTTTTTATCAAATAAATCAAAACATACATTACCATTTTCAGATAAACCCTATAATTTGATTTTTTTTTTTTTATATAAATAGAAATAAATAGTTAACAAATCGTTTTTCTAGTAAAATAAAAAAATGTGTTGGCGCGCTCAAATTATTTTTTTTTTTTTAATTTTTGATTTTCAAAAAAAAAAAAATTTTTTATAAATTTTTTTTTTCTTATTATTTTATTATATTGTGTATTTATTATCTATATTATATTGTGTATTGATAAATTTATATTTATTTAAATTATTATTATTTTATTTTAATTTTAATTTTTAAAATTTTAATTTTTAATAAAATAATAAATAATAATAATTATTAGATGGCAGAAACAACAATCGAAAAACTTTCCCAGCTATCAGTAAATTGTGAAGAAAACAAAGAAAATAGAAATGAAATGAACAGTTCAGAAAACAACACTGAAACTAAAACATCTGACCAATCCAATAGTTCCGCCCAAACCAATAACGAGGATAGACAAGGTGAACAAAGAAGAAAAAAGGTTTATGCAAATTTTCATCTATTAAATAAAGATGGCACTGATAGAGGTATCTTTGAAATGAAAAGATCCAAAATCACAATCGGATCGTAGGTTTATAACAATACCATTACCATATATTAAAATTAAAACCAATATTAAAAATTTTTTTATTTTTTTTTTTTTCTAGTGATTCAGACCAATCAGAAATTTATATTACAAGACCTGAAGTTTTTCCAAGACACGCTGAAATTGTATTTGATAAAAAAAAGAAGAAGTTTTTTTTAGTACCTCTTATCGATCCAAAGGTTTCCGATACAATTAGAATTAATTTTGTACCATTTATTTATAAGAAAGAAGAACTCGGTGATGGCGATATTGTCACAATTGGCTTTAGATCATTTAGAATTGAATTCTTAGCAAAAACTGAAATTGATCTCTATACTCAACCAACAACAGACTATCACTTCAATATTAATAACTTTATTACCTCTGGCGGCAAAAGAATTTCAATCATTAAAAATAAAATATCCACTGACCAAACCAAATCCACTTCAATTGCCTCTACTCCAGTTTCATCATCAAGCCTAGTATCTTCAAAACTAGCCTCTTCGACATCAAACTCCATTGCTTTACCATCATCCTCCTCATCATCATCCTCCGCCAAAACTTTAAATCAAACTGCCAAAGCAACAACTGCCGCTACCGCCGCCCCAATTAAAGATTCTAGAAATACATCCCAAGATCTTTTAAAACAATTAAACACCAACAGAAATCTATCTCAAGTAAAAAAATCTTTATACAAAACCACTACTCCAATCACCACCACTACCGTTACCACCACCACTAAAAAGAGTATCAATGATGAAGACTATGGAGACTCTGAAAGTGAAGAGGAAAAAACTACCTCTAAATATAACGAAGAAAGTGAAAAAGAGGAAGAAGAAGATGAAGAAGAAGAACAACAACAACAACAACAACAACAACAACAACAACAACCACAGCAACAACAACAACAGCAAAAACAACAACCAAGAAAAAATGTAGAAAAACAAAAATATCAAAGTGAAAGTGAAAAAGAAGAGGAAGAAGAAGAAGCTAATGTTAGTCAAAGTGAAGAAAAACACGCAGAAGAATCAAAACCAAAATCAACAAAGAATACAAACATTACCCCAACTATTCCAGGCAGTCCAAATGTTAGCATAAACACAAAACTCTTTAAAAAGCAAGATAGTAAAAGATATTTGCCACTTGGAAGCTCAAGAACACGTTTAAATGTACCATCAACACCTACAACAATCATTACAGTTAAAAAAGAAGTTAAAGTAAAAACCCCAAAACAAGAAACCATTGCCGCAAAACCCAAGGCCAATACCGATAATATGGTTTCAAAAGGTAAAGGTAAAACTGGTGCAAAATCTAAAAAACAAACCTCAGAGGACTATGACGATCACGATGATATATCCGTACCAAGCAGCCAAGAATCAGAATTTGGTTGTGGCAAAAAACCAAATTACTTCAAGCCAATTTCTTTTGCCAAAGCAAAAAAGATTACCCATGAATATAGAAAACAATTCGAGAAACCAGTCCACCAGCAAGATTTCGACCAATCAAGCAAAACAAAGCAAAACATATTGAAAGCTCTCCTTATTGCAAGCTCACACAGATGGACCTACAAAGAAGACCAAACAATAGTAATGAGTCTTGCATACTACTTTGAACAGATTCCAAGCGTTAGCCATTTTGATGCCGAATTTCTTCAAAGATACTATAGCTTAGTCGAGAACCCAATATCAATTAAAGCAATCTTAAACAAAATGAGACAAGAAGATTACACTACAAAATCATTCCTCAATGATTTTGAACTTATAAAACTCAATGCTATAAAATACCATGGTCAAGTCAATGATGTTCTTTGGGCTTTTTATAAACTTAAATTATATCTCTTCCAATCACTCTGTAAACTCTCTATCATTAGCCAAAACGAATTTAATGAATATCAAAAAGAACACAATACCCAAATTAAAATGCTCGAATCCAATTTATTAGACTTACCAATAATGACCGATTTAGAGGAAACCAAACCCACCCAACTTATAGAAACCGACCCAACAACAACTCCAAAAAAGAAACCATTAATTAGAAAAATTATTAAAAAAGATAATGACGAACCACATAATGAAGATAATAAAGAAAGCGACGAAGAAAACGAAAGTGAACAAGAACAAGAAGAAGAGGAAGAAGAGGAAGAGGAAGTAAATGAAGAAAACGAGGAAGAAAACGAATTGGAAATTAGTAATGAAGTTGGTAAAGATAATCAAGACTCTGAAGATGAATATGAAGAGTATGATGAAGACCAAGATCTTATTGTAGATGATGAAGACGATTTAGTTGAAAGAGATCAAAATAGTGACAGCGAAGATGATTAAAATATAATAAACAATACAAATAATCAATAAAAAAATTAATAAAAAACAAAATTAAAATATTTAGTTATATTTTAATAACTATTAATATAACTATTGAAAAATAACATTTTATAAATAAATAAATAAAAAAATTTAAAACAATTAAAAAAAAATTTTATTTATCTTTATATTTTTTTATTACTACTATTCGTATTATATAACTACTTATTATAGTGTACAAATATTTAATTTTATATGATACTATTATATTGTTATATTGCTATTATTATTATTAATTTATTTTTGTTTTGGTTCCTCTACTTTGGACAATTCTTCTTGTTTTGGTTCAGTTGGTTGTTGTTCTTCAACTACTGTGTCTTCTTTTTTTTCTTCCTCTACCTGTTTCTTTTCTTCTTCTTGTTTCTTTTCCTCTTCCTCTTCTTGTCTAATTTCTTCCTCAACTTCTTTTTGTTCTTTAGTTAATTCATCAATTTTTTCTTTGGCAATTTCGATACCAGATTCAGTTGATAAATCTACTGGTAAATCACTAGCAACACCCTTTAAGAGTTCTTTTGGAATATGTTCTAAAGTATCTTCAAGAGCTTCATCAGTTGTGGTACTTGGTGTTAAAGTAAAAGCACGAGATAAAATTAAAAGTGATGGTGGTAATGATTTGTTTAAAGACAAGTCTAACCATTGATCTAATTGACCTTCAATATATCTTCTATTATAACCTTCAACCTTGAAACCACGAGTAATAGCGGCATCTACTAACTCCTCTAAAGTTAATGAATGAAGACCCTCTTTTTTAATGAGAATATCATCTTGTTTAATTTTATCTAATTTCTTGTAGATTTGAGATTTGAGATATTCATTTGAATACCATTTGGAGATGAAATTGGCACCGGCAAGATATCTGTGCATAGTTAAAAGTTGAGTACGAGTGATTTTTTCCATAACAATATCATCTTTAAAGTATTGTGAGAATTTAATAACCTCTTCGGAAGATACGGCTTGACCACTTTTAATTTTGGTGATGAAATCATAAAATTCGTTGGATTTGGTATTTTTCTTTGATTCGGTTGAGATTTCATGGAAGAGTTCTCTAATTTCACCACGGACTTTGGAATTATTATTTGCTCTGTTATGAACACCTTCTAATCTTTCACTTTCCCAAGTGTAGGTTGATGGAAGAAGATTTGGGAATAATTTTAAGAGGAATGGAAGAGCCAACTCTAAGAATGGTACTAAAACAATAATAACGAATGGTACAATTCTCATTACATCGGCTGAAGTTTGAATTAATAATCTTCTTTCTCTTCTACTAAGGACATGACCTTTAATTACTCTTTTAATTAATGAGACTGCAATTGATATATTTTTACCTAATAATTTTGTTCCTAACCAATAATGATCGATACCTTGTTTGATTTTAGTTTTCCAACTAACTTTTTCTGAACTATGAACTGGTTTAATTGAAATAATAACATCTTTATCATCTTTAGTTTCTTTAGTACTATTGTTATTATTATTATTATTATTATTATTATTATTATTATTATTATTTATAGTTGATAAAAATCTTTGATTCATAATTTTTGAATTTTCAAAATTTGAAATATTTGTATAATTATTATTTATATTATTATTTAATTTAGTTTTTGATGATAATGTTGATAAAAATTCATTATTTTTAAAACTGTTATTTGAATTATTATTAATGTTGATTTTATTATTAGTTATTTTTGACGATGCAAAGTTTCTATAAAGTAAAACTGATCCATTTTGCGCAAAACTTGAAATTAATTTTGGTGAACTTATTGATTTTGAAATTAATGAGTTCATTTTATTATTTATTTTAAAATATTATTTAGAAAAAAAAAAAAAATTCTTTTTCGGATTTATTTATCGACAATGAACGCACAAATAAATATTTAATTTTTTAATTTACAAAAATATTTTTTATTTTTTTTATTTTTTTATTTTTTTTAAATTATTATTATTCTATTATTATAAATATTGATTTTATTTTAAAATGAAAAAAAAGTTTGTCTCTTTTTTTTTTTTTTTTTTTTTTTGTGTAAATTATAATTTAAAAAAAAAAAAAAACAAAAAGTAAATTTGGGAGCTGTTTTTTTTAAATTTTAAAAAAATAATTATTATCTGTAATAAAGTTTGATTTTATTTCAAAAAAAAAAAATAAAAAAATTTCGTTTATAATGAAAAAAAAAAAAAAAATTAAAAAAATTAAAAAATTTAAAAAAAAAAATAAAAAAATTAGAAAAAAAAAAAATAATTATTATTCACACTACAATAACACCATAGACTATTTTTTTTTAATTTTTATTGTTATTATTAATCATTTTAGTAAAATAATAATTAGATTATTATAAATTGTTTTTTTTTAAAAAAAAAATTATAAAAGGAAATAAAAAAAAAAACAAAAATAATTATTTTTTTCGTAAAAATTATAAATAATAGTAATAATGTTAACTAAAAGATTTTTCGCTGCATTGGCCACATTTTTCGTTCCTATTATAGCATTAAGTGCTTTAACTAAGACTGTGCAGAAAGATGTAGACGCTGATTTAAATGTATGTAATATTATACAGGATATGAAAATACCTTGTTTAAAATATTTCCGATTTACCCCTAATGCTAACAATACCTCCTTTTTTTTTCGTTTTTTTTTTTTTTTTACAAAAAAATATTTTCAAAAAAAATTAATTTTTTTATTTTTGTAAAAAAATGAAATTCACTTTTTGGGATGTGTTCACATTTTTTAGAACCTCCAAAAAAAACAATCATCCGAATATAAAGAAAGTAGAGAAAACAATCAAGAGATTTTTAAATATATTATGAATTCAACAAAAAATAATAATCAAGATTTTTTTACAGGTTTAGAAAAAGAGATGAGAGATTTAAACACAATGAAAAATAGAAATGATGAAAATGAAAAAGTTGATGATACTAAAAAAGAAATAATTAATAAAAATAAAAATAAAAATAATAATAAAAATAATAATAATAATACTAATAATACACCACAAAAATAGTTTTTAAATAATAGTTTTTAGATAATAGTAAATATAATAATAAATGTAAATAAAATTAATAAATTCTGATATTCCTTTATCTTATTTGAATAAATTTATTCAAATAATTTTATTATTTCTTTTTTTTCTATAAATCATTTGGTATCTGTGGTTGGCAAAAGTTATAGAATGCATCTTTTCTAAATAAATCAGATGATTTCCAACCACACCAACCTTTTTCTTTTATTAGTTTAATATTTTCTGTTGAACCTGTATAGTGAGGATCTAAAATTAAATATCGGGTTTCCCCAGTTGATTCATTGAAATCAATACCCAATAGGGTATATGCCAATACGCCACCACCAATCATAATGGGACTACCATTGGTTTGGAAATGTTTTGCTAATTCCCTGGATTTATAAATAACTTCGGAGCCGCTTGAGATATTTAAAATTTTACATTTAATCTAAAATAATAGGGAATGAATTAGTTAATTATGTTCTTGGATGTGGTTATGATTGTGGGTTATAGTTACATTAAATAAATATTCTAAGCATAGTGTGATTTCAAAGGCCCCAATCCATTGCTTTGATTTTAAAAATGATGGATCTTTATCTTTTAGTTCTACAAGTGTTTTTTGAATTTCATAGTGAGTTGGAATTGGTTTGTTGGTATAGTTTTGATATCTTAGCCATGAGCATATAGTTTGCATTGATCTGTATGCACATCCCCAGCCATTATCATCTATATTATCTTGTAGATAGTGATAGTAGTCGTATGAGCCATCAACTAGAAAAACATTACCCTCAGTTTTACAGTCCAAAGATAAGTTTAAATGAACATCTTTTATATGATTGTGTTGCTGTTTCTTAGATGGTTTCGACAATGATTGCTGCTGTTGTTGTAAATTTATTGATAGTGATGATTTTAAAAATGGTCTATTTAATGGTAAACCTATAGTTGTGTGATATTGCTTTCTAATATTATAATTTTCGTCGTCATCAATAATGTTGTTATTTTTAGTTTTATAAATGGTTGTTATTGGGAATGGTAAAAATGAAAATTGAAAATGAATAGATTTAAAATTATATTCAGGGTTGTCTCTTATTACACTATTGTTAATTTGGTTTAGCATTGATTTGTTTAATAGTTCAATTGTTTCTTTAACTGTTTCATCTTTTGAAATTAAACAGAGGCTTGATACATTTATCATTGATTTATTATTGCTATTATTATTTAATGATATTGTTGGTGCCATTAGTGGGGGTGTATTGTTACAGTTGTTGGTAATTTTTAAAAGTAATTCAATATTTATAATATTCATTGAATTTTTATTAAAGTTGCCAAAGTTATTAGGGGTGCTACTAGTATTACCATTGCTTAATATATCTATTATTTTTTTATCTAAATTGTTTGAGTTTAATGAAAGTATTGGGTTATTTTCATTATTATTTGCTATGTGGAAGTATATTGAGTTTTTATTATTGCTGCTTAGTAGACTATTTAAATGTGAAATGGACGATAGTGAATTTGAATAGTAATTAAATAAATAAAATGATTTGTTTAGTTCTTCAACGATTAATGGCACTTCTATTTTTTTGGTAGAGTTTACTTGATTTAAAGTTTCCAAATCTTTAGAAAATACCTGAAAAAATAAAATTTGTGATTTTTCAATTTGTTCGCTGGTTTCTCTTATTACAGTGTATGAAACTGTGTAGTAGGATCTTGTGGTTTCTGACGAGGATAAAATTGATCTTAGTATCTGAATTGATTCGTTTTTAATATCATTGGTTATTATCGAGTGGTTCAAAGATTCGTTTGTATCTTCTGATGATGTAATATTAAGAGTTTTATGAATACCAAAAAGTGAAAATTCTTTTGATACCGTAGGATATACAATCGTATCTAAATTATTGCCATTATTACTACTATGGCTGCTATTATTAATATTGCTATTGTTATATTTGGTAGAGTATACTATAGTGTTATTGTATCCATAGAGGATATAGTACCCCACTTCATTCAGCAAAGGGTCATTATCTTCCAAATTGTGGTTATATTCGATACAACAAGACATAAATACTTTACTAATTACTAATATTTAAAATTAAAAAAAAAAAAAAAAAAATTTTAATTTTTTTTATTTTAAAAAAAAAAAAATAAAATAAAAAAAAAGGGTTTATGCAAAATTTTTTTCATTTCAATACATTTATTTATCTAAAATTTATATAGAATAAAAGGGTTATTATTTGGTTAACACAGTATTATTTTAATAATAAAATAAATAAATAGTATCATACTAAAACAATGTCCACAGAAATAAACAGTGATATAAAGTTTAATATTGATTTTTTGTTAGACAAAGAAAACTATAATAATAATGTTAAAATTAAAAACAGTAATATAGATAAAGAGGATTTTTATAATAAAATCAAAGATTCAATAGAAACTATAATGATTGCATTCAATAAGTTTACATTTCAAGAAATATCATTAAGTTTTAATGGTGGAAAGGATTGTTGTGTCTTATTACATTTAATAAATTATGTATTACAAAAAACATTCAATAATAATAATATAAATTGCCATAATAATAGTAATGGTAATAATTATAAAGATGGTTTAAAAACTATATATTTTCAAACACCAAATAGTTTTGAACAGGTCAATGATTTTACAGAAAAATGCTCATCAATGTAAGTATATAACAAAACAAAGGAAAGAAATCATGATTAGGTGTATTAATATATGGATTTACTATTGATACATTATATAGATATAATTTAAATATATTATACGTGTCATCAGGTATTAAAGAGGGTTTGGAGAATATTATAGATTCACAAAATATAAAAGCAGTTTTTATTGGAATAAGATATGGTGACCCAAATTCATCACACTTGGAGAAGTTTTCAGTTACTGATCCTGTAAGTAGTTTGTTAAAATTATAGATATAAAATAAACCTTTTTATTTAATAGTTTTTAAAGTGTAGAAATATTGGATTTTGGATATTAATGTTTATTTTAATAAAATTTAGGGGTGGCCACAATTTTTAAGAATAAATCCAATTTTACAGTGGAATTACCATGAAATTTGGGAATTTATAAAATTATGTAATATTCCATATTGTTGTTTATATGATCAGGGATATACATCAATAGGGCATGTAAATGATACAATTCCAAATCCAGATTTATTAGTAGTAACTTCACCCAATAACATTAGCACTGCTAAGTACCATCCTGCTTATTTATTAAAAAATGCAGATAGTGAAAGAAAAGGAAGAGGTAAAAATCTTTCACCAAATAATAATAATAATAATAATAATAATAATAATAATAATAATAATAACACAAAATAATAAAGTTATTTATTCCTTTTATTTGTTTAGTTTTAAAATATATATTTATTTTTTATTTTTTTATTTTTTTTTATATTTTTTTTTTTTAATTTTATTTTTTTACTTTTTTTTTTTTTAATTTAAATTTTTTCATTGTATCAAAAAAAACACAAAAATGAATGACGACGATGAAGAATTTCATTGTAGAGATATAAAAAACGATAGCAAGGATGACAATAGCGATAGCTATGAAGACGAAGATGAAGATGAAGAACCTTTTAAAAAACCAACAGACCAAAAAACCGATTCAGAAGTTATTGCTAAAGAAGATGATAAAATAGAGTTATCAAAAATAAAAGAAAGTCGTTACAATTCTAAAGTCGAAGATGATAATACTGACGATGAGGAGGAGGAAAGGGGATATCAAGAAAAAGAGAAGCAACCCCAAGAAAGTGAACAAGGAGATAGAGAATATGGACATTCAAAACCACATGATGATTATTCTGAAGACGAGAGAGAGGAGTCCACCCACGATGAAGACGAAACAGAAGAAGAAGGATTCATTCCCGATCCGCAGACACATGTTGTCACATTTATTTATGAGGATGATTTAACCGAACCTGTACTTTTAAAAGATAATATATTCGAAAGAGCCAAAGATTCACTACACTTGGATGCAATCCCAGATAAGTTGCCAGGTAGAGAGGGTGAAAAGGCACATATTCAAGCGTTTTTAGAACCAAAAATTAATTTAGGGGAATCAGGTGGTACGCTATATATTGCGGGTATGCCAGGTACTGGTAAAACAGCAACAGTCAAAGAAATTATAAAAAACCTACAAGTAAAAAGAAAGAAAAGTGCGATCAAGCTATTCAGATTCATAGAGATTAATTGTATGCAGCTTTCATACCCCGATCAACTCTATCAAACACTATATAGTAAATTACAATTTGGAAGGAGATCAGCTAGACCCAAAACAAGTGAAGAAGCACTCAGGCTACTCAAAAAAAGATTCAACTCCAACTCGGCCAAAAAGGATTTTGTTATTGTTTTAGTGGATGAGTTTGATTGCTTGTTAACGAAAAAAGAGCAAACTGTAATATACAACCTATTTGAATGGCCAAATAAACCAGCATCTAAATTTGTAGTCATAGCAATTTCAAACACAATGAATTTACCAGATCAATTATCGTCGCGTGTAAAGAGTAGAATGGGTCTTCAAAGACTTCCTTTTCAACCATACAATACACAACAGTTAGAAAGTATTATAAAATATAGATTGGGTGGATTGGAAGCATTTGATCAAGACTCAATTCAATTGGTAGCGAAAAGGGTCGCAACAGTTTGTGGTGATGCTCGTAGGGCTTTGGAGATTTGCAGAAAAGCAGCAACCATAGCACTCCAACAAAACGAACTCGATAATTTAGTTCAAAAAGTTACAGATACTCATATCGATGAAGTTTTCAAACAGTTTTCATTACCGATTAGAAGAAAATTAAATCAATTATCTTTATTTGAAAAATTATTCCTATACTGCGTATGTAAAGAATCAAAGCGTATAAATTCCCTCGAAGTAGTATATGGAGCTGTATATAGAAAGTTACAAGAAACCACTTTATCCAAAGGCATGTATTGTCCGACCGAGTCTGAAATACTCCAGCTTGCAGGTAGTCTAGGTGGTTACAAGTTAATATTATTTGAAGATGACAAACCAATTAATTGGGATCATTTATTAAAATTAAATATTTCTCAAGTAGATTTATTTTATGGTTTAGAAGAGGATGAAGATTTACAAACAATTATATAAATAGTTTTAATAAAAGACCCAATAAAAAACCCAATAAAAAATAAAAAAAGATAATACTATATTTTATTTTTACAATAATTTTAAAAGTACATTTTGTTTTTATTTATTTGATTTAATTTATATATATATATACTATGTTTTTACTATTTAAATTGGTGTTGATGGGGCTGAGGAGTATGGAGAATACGATGAAACTGGTGTTGATGGAGTTGATGTTGATAGAGATATATGGCCCATACTTTTTACATTATTATTATTATTATTACTACTACTATTATTATTGCTATTAAAATTTAATAAACCCATATTTAAACTATTATGATTACTATGATTGCTATTATTATTTAGTGTTGAATTATTGATGATAAATTTTTCTAAAAATTGTAATCTTTGTTTTAAATCTACAACTTCGGATGACAGTTGATTGACACGCTCTTCTAAATTTTGATAGCTGGTTTTACGTGGTAATGAAATTACAATTTCAATAACAATAATTTTTAATATAATATTTAGGCTATTGGTTTCTTTATTGTATTTAATTTTTTCTAATTCAAAGCTGTTGCAACTTTCTAGTGAGAATGCACGCTTTATTGTGCTTGCAAAAGTCTCTGCATTGGTAAATACTCCTTTTCCTATATCCACAATCTCGCTTGGTGTAAAAGTTTTATTATAATATTTTTCTTGATCATCTAAAAATTCCAAATAAAAATTATTATTTTCTAAAATTTTATATGTTATTTTATATTTTTGAAATGTTAAAATATTATTATTACTATTATTTGTCATTTTATTTATATATGTTATATTATATTATATATATATTATCTTTATTGTTATTATCTGTTGTTGTTTATTTAAAAAACCATTAATTTTTTATTTATTTAATTATTTATATTTATATTTATTTGTCTGTATATATTTATTTTAAACTAAATTAAAAAAAAAAAAATTAAAAAATTTATAAAATATTTTATAATAATTAATTTTTTTTCCCCATTTTTTTTTATTTTCTTAAATATTTTTACAATAAAGAAAAAAAAAAAAAAAAAAGATATTATATCATTTTTTTGTTTTTTAATTTTTTTTTAATTAGTTTTTTTTTTTGGATTGCTCTAAAACTTTGATTTAAATTAAAATTAATAAACATTTAATCATATATGTATAACAATATTAAAACAGTAATTGAAAAAACTATGGCGGTAATATTTAAAATGAAAGAGATCAAAGTTATGTGTGTGTGTGAACTAACACACAATGTAGAGTAAGTTAACACACACAACCAACCACATGCACACACATTCACCCATTTTCACACAGACTTACGCACATAATATTATAAATAATAAAAACAAATTAAAATAAAAAAAAATATTTGAAATGAGAAAAGTCAATTGCCTTTTGCATAGTTTATTAGAAATCAACAGTAGTTATTTTATATTTATATTTATTTTTATCATTTAATTTTTTTTTTTTTTATTTAAATTTTATTATTTTTATTTATAAATAAATAAAACAACAACATTACATTTGTTATTGTGTAAAAAATTTTTTTGTATGTAAAAACAATTTTTTTTTTTATTTTTTTTTATTCACTTAATTTAATTCATTCACACATACATTTGTTATATATAATAAAAAAAAATGAATAATAAAATATTATTTGTTTTTTTTATTTGTTTAATTAATATTTGTTTATCTTTAAATTTAGAAAATAAAGTAATTATTGCTCATACAAAAATTCCATTGTTTTGGAAAAATGAAAGGGATGTTTCAAGTTCAAATGATTTAATATCATTTAAATTTCTATTAAAACAAGTAATTATTATTAAATTAACAATAACTATAATATAATAAAAAGTTAATTATTAATTTTTTTTTTCAATAAAGAATAATTTAGATAAATTGAAATATTATTTCACCGAAGTTAGTAATCCAAAATCTGAATTATATGGCCAATTTTTATCAAGAGAAGAAATAAATGAAATCACTAGATCTGATGAAGTTCACTTTAGTAATGTGTTGGAATTATTGGAGCATCATGGGATTGGAGGTGATGAAATTCTAGTATTCAGTGACTATATCACCGTTACAACATCTTTAAAGAAAGCTGCCTCAATTTTTAGTACAAAGTTCTCTCAATATAGAAATTTAAAGAATGGTGTTGTTAGAAATAGAATTAGTGGCCCTGCTTATTTACCAAAGGAAATTGCCAATTCTATAGATTTTGTTACTGGTATCTCTGAATTGATTGATAGTAAAGTTAAGACACCACATCACGATCGTAAAGATTATGATGCCAGTGTAGGTGATGATATCCTTATCACTCCAAATGTATTAAAGCATTACTATAATGTCCCAACTAGTGTTATAGGTCACGATCCAAATAATCTCCAAGGTATTGCTGCTTTTACTGATTATTTTTCTGTTGGTGCTTTGGCTGAATTTGTAAAAGAATATGAATTACCAACCCCAAATGTCACAAGAAATGGTACTGATTGTTTGGGTAATGGCTGTGATCAATATGAAAGGTAAATATAAGCAATAATTGTCATAATTTTTTTTATTTACAATTTTTATTAATTTCAATTTATTATTATAGTGATTTAGATGTTCAATATATGACTGCTATGGGTATCGGAATCCCAACAGTTTTTATGGCTCATGGTGACGGAAAATGGATTTTAGATTTTACTCAAGATTTAATGGGAATTAGCAACCCACCACTTGTAAATTCTATTAGTTATGGGTAAGTATCAATTTTTTATTTTATTTTTTTTTAAAATTTAAATTATTAATTATTATTTTTTTCATAGTTGGGCCGAATTGTCACAATGTGATATTACCGATGGCTGTGGCCAATAGTAAGTAGACACATATATAATTAAATATTAATCGATACGGCACAATATATTAATTATATTTTTTAGTGGTTATAATTCTCAGCAGTATGTTGATAGAACAGATACTGAGTTCCAAAAACTTGGAACTAGTGGTATTTCGGTATTAGTTTCTGATGGTGACGATGGTGCACCATCTTTAGGTGGTGCTAGTGGAAACTGTCCTATTGATACAGGTACATATTGCCCAACTGGAGGATGTCAACATACCAAATCATATTGCAGCGAACTAACATTCCAAAGTACAAAGGACGGCTCCTTTTGTTTCTTCCCAATGGGTATTGGTGCAGATGCTTGTAGTAACTTTTTAAATGACCCATCATTACAAGATGCTATGAATGCATTCGCTCAAAAGAACTCAAAATGTAACTTGGCCTTTGAAAATGATAGAACTAATCTTCCACATGTTTATTCAGAATGTACATGTACCCAATTACAAAATGTAACCACCGAAGGATATACCATTGCACCATATCAATTCTATCAAGAAAATGGTGCCATATTTACTGGAGAATATCCAACCTCGAGTCCATTTGTAACCTCAGTTGGTGCCACCCAATTCCTTTCTAGAAACCAAAATATTTCCCAAGAAATTGTTTGTTCAATTCTTGAGGGTGCTAAAATCACCACTGGTGGAGGTTTTTCTGCATTCCAAAAACAAGAAGACTACCAAAATGAAGCAGTAAAAGGTTATTTATCCAATAACCAAGGTTCATTACCCCCATCATTTTCTTATGACCCTTCAATGAGAGCATATCCAGGTAAGTAATTTTTCTTTTTTGCAAATATAAACATTTATTAACGCTTTAATTTATAAATAATTAGATATTTCATTTGTTGGACATAATTATAATATTTATGCTAGTACAAATAATGGAGATTTAGATAAATGGTAATTTTATAGATAATAAAAATATTGGAAAATTAAAATAGTATTAATTTTTTTTTTATCAAAAATATAGTCCATGTAGCAACTTACCAGTAGACGGAACAAGTTGTTCATCACCAGCTTTAGCAGGTTTAATATCTTTAATTAATGATAAACTTTTAGCAAATGGTAAATCACCATTAGGATTTTTAAATCCACTTCTTTATCAAATGGCTCAAGAGTATCCACAAGCATTTAATGATATTACAGCTGGTAGTAATAGATGTAATAGAAGCTATTGTTGCAAAATGGGTTGGAGCGCAGCTGAAGGTTGGGACCCAGTATCAGTAAGTCATATATATAGCTAATTACAATTCCATTCATTATGAAAAATATTAATCATTTTTTTAAAATTCATTTTAGGGTCTTGGCAGTATTGATTTCCAGAGCTTTGAAAGCTATGTTCTTAAAATGAAAGGAGTTACTCAATAGTTTTTATTAAAATATTTTAAATAAAGTTAATTTTTTATTAAATAATTTTTAATTTATTTTTTTATTTTATATTTAGAATCTTTTATTTTTTTAAAAGTGAAAATTAAATACTTCTAAATTGATATTAAACTAAAATACAACAAAACTAATATAAAGCATTCTAATAAAAGCAGCACCAAAAAAGTTATTTTGAGATTGTGGCAATTTTGGAAGTGAATTTTGTTTTGATTTATTTCTAAAAAAAGTGAGTTAAAAATCACAATTAATTATTAAAATATATTATATTTTCATATATCAATAAATATTTTGGGTAAATTGGTAAGTGTAGTGATAATTTGTTTTTTTAGAAACTAATATTAGTGTTTATTTTATATAACTTGGTATGTGTTAATGAATGTGTTTTTTTTTTTTTTTTTAGAAATTATTATAAAAGATACTATATTTGTGTTTATTTTATTATAATTAAACTATTTTTGATATAAAATTCATATACATTTTGTATACCCAAAATAAAAAAAATGATATTATTTAAAAAAAAATTAAATATTAAATAAAAAATATTTTAAATTAATTTTTTTTTATTTGAAATTATATTTTTATTTTTCATTTACATATTTTATATTGCATATTTTATTCGTTTTATTTTATCAAATTTTTTATCGCATTTAATAATTTTTATATCACAACTTTATATATTTTATACATTTTACACTTATTTATATCAATTTCCACATTTATCAATTTTTACAACTTATATATATCAATTCTTTTATTTTTTTAAAATTATATTCAAAATGAAATACAATAAGCAGCATTTAATAGATTTAACAAAAGATTTATCAATAAAATTAAATTACGCAAGAGGCTTAAATATTGCCTTCTTTAATGAAGGAATAAAAACAGCCAGAAAAGTTATCAAGGAAATAACAATTTTAGAAATTTTAGCAGGAATAGAAGTTTCCACCATAGAACCAACTACTTTGGTTTTAAATTATTTAGTCAGCAATAATATAGTCAATGAAGAACAACAACAAGATCAAGAACAACAAAAAGATCAAGAACAACAAGAAGAAGATCAAGAACAACAAGAAGAAGATCAAGAACAACAAGAAGAAGATCAAGAACAAGAAGAAGATCAAGAACAAGAAGAAGATAAAGAACAAGAAGAAGATCAAGAACAAGAAGAAGATAAAGAGCAAGAAGAAGATCAAGAACAAGAAGAAGATCAAGAACAAGAAGAAGATCAAGAACAAGAAGAAGATAAAGAACAAGAAGAAGATCAAGAACAAGAAGAATTAAATGAACAAGAAAATGTTAATAATGAAAATCAAAATAATTTAATTCAAGAAAATAATCAAATTATCGATGTTCATACTGTAGAAGATGAACCAATTTACGCTACCCCATCTCCACAACAACAAGAACAAAACCAAGTTCAAGAAGATGAATCATCAGATGGTGATAATGATGACTATGATTATAATTGGAGATGCTACCAAACTCCAATTACCCCACCTCCATCACCAACACCAATTCCAACACCATTTGAAAATACCCCACCTCAAGAAAATAATCAACAAGAGGTAATTAACTCACCATCACAACAAGAATCAAGCCAAGATAGTGACCTTGAAATCTATGCCAATTGGAAATCATTCCAAACCCCAAATTCACCACCAAGATCAGATCAAAGCGAACAAGATCAAAATGAGGTCCAAGAGCAAGAATTAGTCCATAATAATCAAGAACAAGAACAAATCCAAATTAATCAAGAACAAAATCAAGAACAAGTTAATCAAGAACAAGTTAATCAAGAACAAGTTAATCAAGAACAAGGACAAATCCAAATTAATCAAGAACAATCCAATCACCATGAGGAAGAACAAAATGGACAATTCAATAATGAAAATCAAGAAACCGAAGAAAATCAACAATTATCTCATCATAATGAAAATGAAGAACAAGATGCAGAAAGATCCAACCAAAATGTACCATTTTCACAAATTTCAGAACAATCAATGGATGAAGAAGAAAATGAAATCATTTTTGGATATACTTGGAGAACATTATTCCAAGATAATTTTCAAGAAGAAGAGGAAAATAATTCAGCCAATGAAAATAACCAAAATGATGAAAATGATGAAGATGACCAAGTAGTTCCAGAAATTAATGAAGATTTATTTAATATTGAAGTAGAGGATGAAGAATTAAGCCAAGAAAGTCAAGAACCAATACAAGTTCCTTTACCACAATATAATGAGAATGAAGAAGAAGAACCAATCCATGTTTCTCCCCCATACTTTTATGAAGAAGAAGAACCAATTTATTCCACTCCTCCACAAGAAACAAATCAACAACATCAAAATGCTAATGAAGTACAAGTAGAACAGTTTCAACAATTTTTCCAACAAGTAGAACAGCAACCATTAGAACAACAGCCATTAGAACAGCAACCATTAGAACAACAACCATTAGAACACCAGCCATTAGAACACCAGCCATTAGAAGAACAACCATTAGAACAACAACCATTAGAACAACAACCATTAGAAGAACAACAATTAGAACAAAATATATTAGAATCTCACCAAGAGGGTCAGAACCAAAACCAAAATGATCAAGCAGAACAATTCCCTCCAACTCAATCACCACCACACCAAGATGAAGAATTCACTCCAACACCAGTTTTAGAACAACCACAAGCTCCACAAAGAAATGTTCATTTCAATCTTGATTTGAATATCTATTATGAACCTATACCAACACCACCACTTACCCCAACACCACCACTTACCCCAACCCAAGAAGAATAATATAATAAAGAATCACCAGCAGTCAATAAACAATAATCAATAATCAATAATCAATAATCAATAATCAATAATTAATAATCAATAATCAATAATCAATAATCAATAATCAATAATCAATAATCAATAATCAATAATAATAATAATAATAATAACAACAATAATAATAATAATAATAATAATAATAATAATAATAATAATAAAAAAAAAAAAAAAAAAATTTAATGTAAAGCTATCCAGTGTACCACAAGTCGAGTCCAGAAGAGTAGTAGCCGCTAAAAAACTGGATAATGTCAGGTATTTCCTTAATTGGAGGTATCTGGCGTTATCTAAGTTTCCTCATCCAGGGAGGGTGAGGTTTTGCCATTTTTTTTTTAAAAAACGATAGAGGGAACAATTATCTATCTAGTGGTACCTTAATTAGACCCTCTAACCCAAATCATCAAAAGTTGGATTGATTTAAAGTTTTTTTTTTCTATGCAACGCCATATAAAATTTTTTAAAAAAATGCTTAAAAAACCCCAAAATATAATCCAAATTTTTCCATATAAAATTTTTTTTTTTTTTTTTTTTTTTTTTTTTTTTTTTTTTTTTTCCAAAAATTTAAAAAAAAAAAAATTTTTAAAATTTAAAAAAAAAAAAAAAAAAAAAAAAATTTAAAAAAAATATAAATTAAATTTTTTTTTTTTTAAAAATATCTTATATACAGAACAACTCCTTCATTAAACCATGCAGGTTGAAAAATCCAATTAAAGGATATAATAATCAAAACTTTAAATCAACACCACAATAAAATATCAAATTATAGGTAAGTTTTAATTTTTTTATTTATTTTGTATTATTCTTTAGCAAAACCACTTTATAAAAAATTTCATCATGATTTTTCCCATAGATCAAACGCCAGCATAAGAGATAAAGAAAATATGAAACAATTTTGAATTACCACAAATGTTAAAAAAGCCAAAACACAATCATATACAATGAAAAAAGTTTAAGATTTTAGAAAATTATAGTTTGTTGAAAATAGTTTATGATGGCCCAGTTATTTTGCTCCTAATTAATTGTAACCATTAAATGATTCTAAAAATAACATGGAAAAAATAACAAAGACAATTAGTTTTACCACATCAAAATCAGTACAAAAAATCAACATCAACATCAAAGCAACAAAAATAACAATAATGCTATTTTAAATTAAAAATAATAAAAACTATTATAACCTTGATAAACCAAAACTTTTTAACAATTTAATTCTTAATTTATAATATTTTTATTAATTTTACTTTTTAAATTTATATATTTAAATTTCTAATCCCTTTAATTTATTATATATAATACATATATACATACATATCGAATGAAACAATACTAAAAAATATTAAAGACCAATTGTAGGAAACTTGGAAACAAATATTTTGACGAAAAATGTAACAAACCAAATTAATTGACAAAAAATACAACCATTAACTATTTATTAAATGATAGAATTATTAGTATAGATCAAAAAACCCCAAGTCATTTATCTCTCTAATTATACAAAGAACAACCCTTAGTAGAACCAAAGACCAATGTAGATACATTATCATAATCAGTCAAAGAAGATACAACTAACAGTAATGCTAAAACATCCACAGATCAATCTACCAAAGCACCCCCATCATACCACTCGAGTTAAAAAAAATATAATTATAAAATTAATAAAAATATAAAAACTAAATCTTTATAATTAAAAATAAATAAAATGATATAATTAAATCTTTGGCCATAGTCAGAATATTAAAATTGAATAAAAATTATAATGGATCCTTTTAAAAAAAAAACATACACATACAAAATCATATCACATGAATATACACATACATACTCATACTCATACTCATATTATTAGTGTAAGATAGTATTTTTTTAAATAAAAATTTAAAAAGTAGTTGGGTTAAGTGATTGTTGTAAATTTATAAATAAGTGTTTTCTCCTTTCCCATTGAAAGAGATGTTAATAGGGCGATCTATTATCTCTAACCCTATTTCTTTTAGTACTTGAGGGGCTTGAGCACAAGAATTATTAACTATAAGAATATTGCTGGTTTACCAATTTTCCTTAATACAAATCAAAGAGAAAAAATGCAATGCTTTAATTACAAATATTCGACCTTTGCCCTATTACCATGAGATATATGTATATAGTAGTTAAATTTTCCCCACTATCATCGGAAGCTGGATCGATAGTATGAACATAATTGGTATTTAAGAGGATAACTAATAACTCTCTAGAGTGAATTTCTGGGTCATCATAGGTTTTGAGTAAAAGTGGAACGTGGACTTGGATTCCTAGATTTCTAATTACTGAACCAATGTGGGAAAGAGCTTGGCAGCCTCTTGAGCTTTGGTATGAGTATCATTTAATACATTAGTGAGCTTTGGTACAATGGTTGGGAGACAAGTTGAAAGTTGTTTTGGAGCAAAGAAAGCCATGGCACCTAAAAGTTCAATTAAACCTTCTTTATTTCTCCATGAACTATCATCAAGGGCTTTCAAGAGAGCTGGTAAATTTTAACACCATGACCTGATAATTGTGACATAGTAGCTTTGGTATCTCTAACCTCACCAACATTATCACCAAAACAAACTAAAAGTTTTGGAAGAATGTGAATGACATATGGTTCAAAAACACGACCAATGGTATTGCAAAGACATTCAAAGGCAAAAAGGGCACCTTGTCTTGAAGTTGGATGTTTCTTATCTTCAATACAGGATTTAAGGGAATCTAAAATACCAAGATTCTTTAATGAACTGATACCAAGACCCTTATCAGTACCGACTAAACCAAAAGCAGCAACTCTACTACCAGCATAAATATTGGATGATGATTTTAAGTTTTCTATAAGGATTGGAACTAATCTACTGCCTTGTTCTTTGAAGCTAGAAATTAATTGAGAAATGCATTTTGAAACACTGACTTGGACATTCTCTGATGGAGTTGAAAGAGCAATGACCAATTTATCAATGATAGATGTGAAACTTGCACTCTTTGGATCCATATGTTTAGCCAAAGCACCCATAAATACATAGGAATTTGTGGTTGGATTGTTGATATCTTGGGTAGTTGAATGATGTGGGTTCATTGGATAGTTTGAACCCCAAGCTGCAACAAATAAATAAGACTTCACATTATTACTCAAAAAACATAGTTTAATTATGACTCGGCAAAGCAACCTCCTCAAAAATTAATATAGATAAAACATCTTGATCAATCATTATTGGTGACTGTGGGAATCATTATTCACCAATACCAATTGCTAAAACACCACAACGATACCCTGGTTATTATTTCGACAACAATGGTTCTTTGAAAATTACATGTATTGCTCAAAATTATCCGCGCATCATGGATATTAAAAAATACAAATTCATTTTTAAAAAGTAACTTTATAATGGAAAGTATCTCAAAAAAAAAAAAAGAAAAAAAGAATTTTATATTTTATATTTATTTTATATTTATTTTTAATTTAGTTTTAAGTTGTTTGAATCAAAGCCAAGCATTTGACAAGTTTTTTCCCATAATTTTAATGAATTGCTTGGATCTTGAGCAAATTTTGATGTCTGTGTAATCTGGGTAATATTTAAGTATTTTCCTTTGATATTTGACTTGTTTAAAGCTAATTCGGCCAAGCCTCTACCCATATCATCCAAATTGTCACCAATCAAATAAGTTAAAAGTGCAGTGAAACCTCTAGCAAACCAATTATATTCGTGTGCTAATGAAGTCATAGTGAAACCTGGATGAAGGGCATTTACTTTAATAGAACTTTCGGATTGGTCTAATTTTTTTTGTAACTCTTGGGCAAATAATAAATTGTATAGTTTTGATTTTGAATAGCTGTTGGTGCTTGAATAATCTGATTCAGTTTCATTGCCTAATTCTTTATCAAAATCCAAAGACCCAATATAGCTGTGCATTTTAGAAGAAACAATTACGATATTACCACCACCTTCGAGTTTTGATTTGTTTAAATTTGGTAATAATAATAAGGTTAATAATGAAGTTCCTAAATGATTTGTTCCCATTGTTAATTCATAGCCATCAGAGTTTTTTCTAAATTCATTTGTTAATATACCGGCATTATTAACTAAAATATCCAATGGTTCATTTAGTGAGTTAAATTCGTTTACAAATGATTTAATTGATTCCTGAGATGATAAATCCATTTTCATTAATTTTAAATCTGCATTGGGGTTTATTTGTTTTAATTCTTCAATAACCTTTTCACCTTTTTCTAAATTTCTAACTGGCAATATAATTTTTGTGTTATCTTCTTTAACCAAATAATTCAAAGCATTTCTACCAATACCATCTGAACCACCAGTTAAAATTATTACTTTTTTATTATTATCTGTATTTGACATTTTTTATTAATTATTAGTTTTCGTTTAAACAATATAACAATTAAATTTTTGTTTAAATAAAAAAATTAAAAAAAAATTAAAAAATTAAAAAAAAAATTAAAAAAAAATAAAAATAAAAATAAAATTAAAAAAAAACTGAAATAGAAATCTAAAGCTTAAGAATAATTTTTTTAACACCTAATTGATAGATCGCATAAAATTTTCTTTGAAATTATTTATTAATAAATTAATTTATTTAAATTAGAAAAAAAAAAAATTAAAAAGGTTAAATTATTTGTACAGAAATTATATATTAATTAGGTGTTAAAAAAATTATTCTTAAGCTTTCTAAATTGCGGTTTCAATAATTTGTTATTTATAATCTTCCATGTAATCCATATCAGGGTTAATACCAAAGTTTTTATCGAAATCTTCGCCACGAATCGCAAATTTTTTATCGCAATACTGTCTTAAACTTGAAATGTTATCGGTGTATCTGTTTACAGCAGCAATTGCTGTTTTTACATCCTTCTTTAATTGTTCCATTAATTCTGAATCTGCATAATTTGTTAACTCTTCTTTAAATTCTTTATTATCATCTTTAAGTTTTTGTAATTTTTCTATATCCTTTGTTCTTTTTTCCTATATAAAAATAATAAATTTATTAGTTATTACATTTTGAATGAAAATAAAAAAAAAAAAAAAGAAAACTTACAGAATCGATTCTTTCACCTTTTAACTTCTCAATATTTTTTGTTTCATTCAAAATCTTTTCTTTTGTGTTTTTTAATTCTTCAGTAAGTTCTACTATTTTGTCCTTTTTTTGATCAAATTCAAAACTTGCAAATGCCCAATAATAGGTTGAACTACCCATTTTTTCTGAATTTACAATACCATCTTCGACTAATGACTGAATAGTTTCTTTACATTGAACCTGTGCTATAATAAACTGAATTAATATTGATTCGCTTATCTATATCTTTAAAGATAAAATAAAAGTCTTACTTAAACCTGTGTATTTTGATGCCTCCGCTTCAATTTCTTTGGATGAGTAAATGGTTGGCTAAAATATAAATTTATTAGTAATCGTTTTATATATATACTTTTTTTGTTTTTATACCTACACTCATATGAAAAAACTCTTTAATTTTTTCTTTTTTTTCTTCTGGTGATAAACCTTTTCTTCTTGTTGACATTTTATTTATCTGCAAATATTGTATATGTTATAAAATTAAAAATTGTAATATTTTAATATTAAAAAATGAAAAAAAAATGAAAGAAAAAATTAAAAATTAAAAAATGATTTTATTTTTTTTTAATTTTTTTTTTATTTATATAATTTTGAATTTTCTGGGTATTTTGTAAAAAAAAAGAAATAAAAAAAAATAAAAAAAAAAACTAAAATAGGAAATAAATAAAATGGTCATTTAAAATAATATTTGTTTAAAAAAAAAGAATTTTATTTTTTATTTAAATAAATATATATTGTTTTTTTTTTTTTTTTTTTTTTTTTTAAGCGTTTTGTTCAAAATAAAAATCTACATCTACAATTAATTTACCATCTTTTTCGGTTTGAGAAATAATTTTACCAATTACACTTGATGGGAGTGATTTACAGTTGTCTTTAAAGGCATTTAAGGTTTCGCTTGAAAGTTCAACCATTTTACCAGTCTTTCTATCTATACGTTGGTAAACACTGCCAGATTTAACGAAACGATTAATGGCATCTAAATAAGTTTCATCGGTTGGGTCAGAAGGATCTCTTTGTCTATCTTGATCATTAATTCTCATTTCTAAAGTTTTATTGGTAGTTTCCAAATTTCTAATTTTTTGAGCTAATTGATCAATGATTTGATCCAATTTCTTATTTGAGGAACCAAATGTATAAGTTGTAGTATTGCCAGAAGTTTGAGCTTCGGAAATTAATTTTGGTAAGTGGGAAGAGGATGATGATGATGATGATGATGAAACTGGTGGTATACGAGATGACGACGATGACGATGTTGATGGGGTAATTGATGAAGAGTTGTTATCGGAATGAGATAAAGTTAATAATTTATTAATTAAATCATTAGTTAAATCCAAACCTTCATTATCAATTGAAATTTCATCCTTTTCGAAATTGGCTGTGGCGGCATCAACTTCGATATCAACGACACTATATGATTTTGGAATACTACCCAATTGGCAACGGTCAATAAAAGATCTTTCATCTTCATTAATTTCTATATCAGCTAAGAGATCTTTCATTTCATCCATGACAAGACTGATATCAAAGCCTATGAATTGGAGTAAACGAATAACATCATATTTTTGATTGGCAATGGCTTTATGGATACAGAACTCTTCGTCAGAATCTTGTTCATAGAGGTCGAACTGTCTGATATTTAAAAGACGATTGACAATCTTAACGCTACCAATGGCACAAGCTAAATGGAGAGCATTGGCTTCGTAATTATATGATTGAAGGGTGATTGAAGATATTAATTCTTCTCTTTCTTCTTGATTTAATGGGCTACCAGCACTCTTTGAATGTCTTTCCCAAAGATCTACCAATGAAGAAACACCAGATTCGTCAGCATGCATAATTGAGTAGTGGAGTGGAATATAACCTCTTGCATCTTGTTTACCAAACATTTGTGGATATTTATTTAAAATCATTAAAAGATTAGAGCTACCTTTAATTTCAGACAACATATGTACAATGTATTTACCAAAGTGATTTGGTGTGAATACAGCATCTTTTAATTCCTCTTCATTCTTTTCTTCAAAGTGAGAAACAAGTCTGCTAAAGAATTCGTTGTTATCACTTGGTGAAGCATAGGCGGCATAGTGTAAAGCATTGAAATGAGCTTTATTCATAATACTTAATTTGGTGTTAATTAAAAGTAATTTGTTAAAGGTTGGTTTGTCATTTAATAAAATTGAGTACATTAATAATGAATCACCAGTTGATTCATTAGTAATATTTCTATATGTTTCATATTTTGAAAGATCTGAATTTGGACAATTTGAAATTTCTTTATAAATTCTATAGAATTGATTGTTTACAGTATCTGCAATATTTACACTATATTGGTAATAGAAATTACCTCCACTACCACTACCACCACCACCAGTACTACTATTGTTACTATTATTACCACCACTATTGTTATTGTTATTACTTGGTCCATTATTACCACTACCACCATTATTGTTATGATTACCACTATTGTTGTTTGAATTATTATTATTGTTACCACCACTATTACCACCACTGTAATTATTTATTAATGTAGAGTCGATAATGGTATTATCAGTATAGAAAATTTCACAAGAATCTTCATCATTTAAATTCTTTATTAATTGAGGGGTAATATCTTCGTTCTTCTTTAAATAAACAGCATAGATTTTATAAATACCGGCAATTAAAGCTGGAGTTTCAATGTTGATTGACCATTCAGAGGTCCAGCTGCTCTTGTTTGGTCTATCTTCATAAACACAGTTACCATGTTGATCAACAAAAACAATTATAAGTGGATGTGCATCACCATGTTTGAAGAAAGATGAATTTAATTCTAATTTTGATACTCTAGCAAGTGGATTGACTAAATGTGGTGAAACAAACTCGATCTTTGGATTTGGTAAAGAACTGGTATGATAGCAGTAACGAATGTTATTTGAAATAATATTGGTTAAATATTTTGGATTACCATCGGCATCCTCAGTAAATAGATCGTATCTAATCTTGAAGAAATCAGTTTTTTCATTACCCTTTGGCTTTTCAATTTTAATATTAAAAGTGCAATAACCGTCATAGTCGAAATTCTCTTTGGTGTAATCGATTTTGAATTTATCCTTTTCAGTTAAACGAGCAGTGACCCAAAAATTGGAGTAATCAGAAACGCCACCAGTTGGTAAATTTAATTTTATAACAGTTGGTGGTGTGATAATGTGGTTATTTGTAACAGAGTTTGGTTCTGGAATTAAATCTCTTGGAAGGAATTCAATCTTTGGTTCGCTGTAGAATGATGGTGGAGACTTTTTGTGAAGCTCGATTGCTCTTCTGCATTTTTCAGAACTCTTTTCTTTTTGTGTTAATTCCTTTGATTTTGAATTGGCCTTGGCTGATGAATTGGTAGTATATGGATCTTTTTTATTTGATAATGGAGATGAACTTGTTTTAGTTGGTTTCTTTTTATTTCTCTTTAAATCTTCGTCGACAAAATTTGGTTCAATTTTACTATACATTTGTTGGAATTGAGCATTAGATCTGTTCATTCTTGAAAGAATTTGATCGTCTATGTTGAGAGTGTATGGTGATGTTGGAATTGATGATCCATTATTTTGTGAAAGTGGTGATGATGGGTAATCAATTATACCACCTAAACTATTTGGATGATTGTTTTGATGATGAGCCATATTTGTATTATGATGAACACCGCCACCGTTAATAATAGTTGGTACTAAATAATTATTACCATTATTGTTATCTATAAAATGATTTGGAATTTGTTGTTGTGGTGATAATGGTTGTTGTGGGGATAATGGTTGGTGTTGAATTTGATGTTGGAATGAATTACTATGAATATTTAAAATATTAGTTGGTGGAGTATGATGATGTTGATGACCGTGGGTATGGTGATGTTGATGACCGTGGGTATGGTGTTGTTGATGGTGATGTTGTTGTTGTAATGAATCTTGTGATGGACTTGGAACATTAAAACTATTGTCGTATTGTTGATTATTTTGTCCAGTTTGATATTGTGGTAAACTTTGTGGTGGTGAAATTGGTTGTTGGTATTGATTAGAAACCATTGTTGGTGTATTAAAATTTGAAATTGAATGTGAATCAACTAATTGCAATGTTGATGATGGTGAGTTAGATGATGACATTGGTCCACAGCTTGGAAATAATTGTGCTTGAATTTGTGAAAACCCAAAACTACCATTGCCACTATTTTGAACTGAACCAGCACTTCCAATAACCTCATCATTAATATTATATGATGTAAAATCTAAAATAAAAAAAAATAAAAAATTTATTAATATATATTAATTTTTTTGAAAAATTATTTAAATTGGGGGAAGGGGGAATTTATTAAAAAAGAAAAAACCAACACACCCATAGAAAATATATTTTTACATACCAGCATCGTTTAAAGATGTGTATTTTTCAATAACTCTTTGGTCTAACAATGATTGGATTTCCTGATTCATTTTTTTTTTTTATTGATTATGTTTTATGGTTTTTAAAAAAAAAAAAATTTATTTAACAAAAAAAAAAAATTATGATTTATATTTTTTTGGTTAGGAGAAATTGGGATTTATAAATGTAATATTACTGATATTTTGATATATTAATTTTTTTTTATAATGATATTATTATATTATTTTTTCTTTATTATATTATTTTTATTTTTATTTGATTTTTTAAAAAATTAACTATTGTGTTAAATTTTATATAATCAAGATTGTGATGAATGGAAAAAAAAAAACAGAAAGAAGGATTATAATATAAAAAATATTAAAAAAAAAAAAAAAAAAAAAAAAAACAAACTGAATTTTTGAAAAAAAATTAAAAAAAATAAATAAAAATTAAAAAAAAATTAAAATAAAACACTTAAAAAAAAAAGTTATTTACTCATAAATTCAAACAAATTATATTTGTATGTATTTTTCCAATACAAATTTGAATAAATAAATAAATGAGAAAGAAAAATTTTCTCTATTTATTGCGCATTATAAAAAAAGAAAATATTTTCACAAAAAAAAAAAAAAAAAAAAAAAAAAGAGTGTTACCCAAATAAACAAACCACACCCAAATTAATAAACCAGTTAATGTGGTATTAACTGACACAGACCATTTTTATTTTAGTTTTAGAGTTGTGTTTTACTTTAACCTTTTTTTATAGTTTAAAATTTTCTTTTGAATTTTTAAAAAAAAAAAAAAATAAAAAAAAATTTTTGAGATAATTGATTTTATTAAATTTAAATTATATTTATTTAATTGTAATTTTTTTATTTATTCACTTTTAAAAAAATTCTAATTTTTTTTTAAAATAAAAAAGTTTGTTTTTAAATTAATTACCATATTAGATCTATTAAGGCTTATTAAATTGGGTTTTTTTTTTGAATAGTAAATATATTTGTAAAATATTCTTTATTATTATTATAATTTTAAATTATTTTATTTTAGATTCAAGGATTTATAATATATAAATTTAAGTCGCTTAATTTAATTCTCCTTGGTTAAGTTGTTAAGATTAAAACTTAATTTATTTTTAAACCCACCCCTTTTTTTATATAAATTTATTTTATTTATTTAAAAAAAAAATTTTAAAAAAAATAAATAAAATTTTATTTATTTTTAAACAAAATAACAATATAATTCATTTTAAAAGGGTTTCGTGCAAACAATGGGCCATCAACTTTTTGTATGTAAAGTTAAATACCGACAAACATAATGGTTGTGCATTCTACCAAGTACAAAATAATAATGTATATTGTTTGGTATTTCAAAGAGCAGTACTTGGAACTGTAAATAGTATTACCATGTTCCATTTTTTTATTCTATTTATAAAAAAATTTTCAATACTTTATTTTTTATAAAAAATATAGTATGAATGTATGTGGGATATTATGTGAGTATTTGCGAGTGGTATCAAGTGAGTATTGTGTAAAATTTTAATGTTATTGTGTTTGATTTCCAATAGCATCATTTTTTTTTTAATTTAATTCTTTTTAATTCTAATTGTAAATAATAATAATAACAACAATAATTTGAGTCAGCAGCAATACAATGTCCTTAAAAACTGACTAAAAAAAAAAAAAAAATGATGAATAAAAAAAAGAAAAAGAAATTTCGATTTATTAATAATTAATTTTTAAAAATAATTATTTAATCTAAAAAATTAACCAAGAGAGCTCGACAGAAGCAAGGAAATCAGACATGCAAGAATTGCGCAGTTGGGGTTGTATTGGAAAAACCTTTGGTGACAGCCTTAGCTTCAACATCGATACTCACACCAATATGTTGTTCTGACATATATTTGACCCAGTTAATTTTTGATTAATAATTGTGAAAAGGTATTAAACTCTGTAAAAAATTTGGTGGCTGGTGGTTGTATAGCTTCACCTTTATAGTTTTTAATAGTTTTATCTATTATTTGTAAACTACAAAAGAATTGAAGACACTCGACTCTATTTGATCTGAAGGCCTTGAAAATTGGAGTTTCACCTTCTAAATCTTTTGAATTTAAAGTTTTGGTACTGTATGCAATAATTTTCTTACAGACTGCAAGATTACCCAAGCTGGATGCCCAATGAAGAGGTGTAAGACCATTAGAGTCACGGAATAGGAACATATCGATGGCCTTTGTATCTCTTTTGTTCATTTGTCTTTGGAAATCTAGCATTACATCTATCATCTTGCATTCTGCGTCAAAAGCAGAGTAATGAATAGGATAGAGACCACATTTATCACGTTGAAATAGTATTTCTGGATATTTTGAAACCAAATGAACCAACATAGAGACGTTCTTTTGCTCTACACAAAAGTGGCCCAAGCCCATTCCATTATAATCGACCATAAATGGATTACCACCAAACTTTAGAATCATATCCAAGAATTCAAAGTTGATTTTATAAGTTGGAGCCAAATGAATTGGAGTTTGGCCTTGATTATTTCTTGCATTTGGATCTTTTTGATTTACTAAATAACCATAGAAATAATTGATTTTATTTGCACCAATAGCACCATGACCAACAGAATTATTTTCCCCGTCCACTCTATCATATGCAATACTTCCCAATTCATTTTTTTTACCGCTTTTAATTTCTGGTGGATAAAGAATTGAACGATAGTCTGATGTATCCTCTCTAATTGATTGAAAGAATCCAATCTCTGGGTATTTATAATATCCTGGTATACCCCCATATTTCTCTGGTACAATGATACTATTCTCTAATGCAGCCTTATCAACTTGAATTGGAATTGAATTTGAAATACATGTTGTAAACTCTTCATCATTTTGATTATTATTTTTTATATTTTTTTTTTGCTCCTCCAATTGTTGTGGCTCTTCTTTTTTTGTTTTACTATATGCAACCAAAATGATTTTATTTGGGATTTTATTAAGTGATAATTTAAAGTTGATTCCCAAAGCAATACCAAAATTCTGTTTGAAAAGACAATAATCACCATTTTTATGTTGCTCAGAAGTAGAATGTGTTTCTTTAAAATCGATGGACCATAAATGAGGATCAGGATAAACTTTGAAACTATGAATTGATACAGGATGTGTATGAATGGACTCTAGTTGAGTTTCAAAAATGAAATCATTTGAAAAGTCTGAAAAATCATATGGACATGTTTTAAAAGTAAGCAATCCAGCATTTTGAAGAAACTGGGGCAATATTGAATCTGTTAACTTTTCTTTTAATTGGGACATTTTTTCTAAATCTTTGTTGTATTTATCTTCGACCTCTTGAATTTTATCTTGTAAAACAATCTTAAAGCATTCTTGTTGTTTAAGTCTTTTTTGTGTTTGTTCCATATATCTCTTGTGTGAGTCTAATTGCAACTCCAATGTATTTTGAAGCAATGAAAGCTTTTTTAACTCCTCTGTAGCTTTAAATAGGCCCTCTTCAACTGTCTCTTCCTTTTTATTTTCTTCAACTTTATTTATGTTGATATTTTTATTTTTTTTATCATTAACATTATTGTTGTTATTATTATTATTCTCCAGTAAACCATAATCTGTTTGGTTATTCTCGTTGTCTTCTTTGTCAGGATTTTTAGAGATTTCTAATGTTTCTATATCCAACAAACAACTTAAAAAGTTATTGAAGAATTGTGTACCATCAAACTTTATTTTTGTAATTGGACCCGATTTTCTTTTAATTGATTTCTGATTCTTTATATTAAAACGTGTAAGATACTTTTTAATTGCATAAATTGAAGCAGTAGAGGTTTTTATAAACTCTTCGGATAATAACTGGTACCTTTCATTATATTCCATGGCCTCTTCTAAGCTGATATGTGCACCATTTATATTATCTCTGTGGGAGAAACTGGCATCTATTAGAGAATCATTCATTTTTTTTAATTTAAAATAATGTTTTGGGAATATATATAAAAACAAAATAAAAAAAAATTTCAAATATAAAGAAAAAATTTAAAAAAAAAAAAATTAAAAAAAAAAATTAAATAAATAACTTAAAATTTTTAAGTCGCTAAAATAATTTTTACCCCGCCACCCCCAAGAGAAATAAATGTAAACTGTTTCTTTTTGTGTATTATATTAAAAACTCTTCATCTTTGAAGAAATAACAATTTTTAAAAAAAAAAAAATATTCTGATACGGTAAAAAAGATATTTTATTATTTATTTTTATAAAGGGCATATCAAAATTGAAACCTGTTTTTTTAAAGATAAAGAACACATTAACCCTCTTTTATCCTTATTATAATCAAGAGAAATAATTGGAGAGTCTGAGATTTGGACCTTATCAACAAGAACACCTTGATCTTTGTACATTGAGACAACACCATCTCCTTGGGCTATTGAAAATATACTTTCGTCCTTATTATTAAATGGTGAATAAGAACATGACCATATAGTTTGATTCTTTAAATAAATAAATAAAAACTATTAATAAACATGTAAATTGCCATAAACATTGTAAATTTTAAATACAAACATTTTTAATTTCGATATTGTTGAAATTTAAAGTATTATTATTATTATTATTATTATTATTTACAATTGATATAAATGATTTATTTGTTGTAATTATAAATTCATCTAATATATTTATTTTATTCTTTGAAGATATTGAGCAAATTCCACCGTTTATTGAAGAGGATTGCCTTTTTGATTGTGTTTTTAAATCATAAATATTTAAATTACCATTTTCAAAACCTGTAATTAATGTTGAATCGTTTGTGCATATTGACCAACAATTACTTTTGTCGTCTTGTGTAAATGTATTAATTGATTTTAAAGGTGATCTTATATCCCAAACTGATACACTCCCATCCTTTCCACCACAGACCACCAAATTATCTGAAAATGTGTCAATTGAAACTATACCATCCAAATGTGTTGTTTTAATTGTTAATTTTGGTAAATCGCATATATCTGAATCCCATACTGTTAAAAATCCATTAAAATGACCTGCTGCAAAATTTCTATTACTATTATCATTACCACCATTAAAAAATGATAAACATCTAAATGGATTCGAGAATTCATTCTATAAAAAAAAACCCTCAAATTAATACCCTATACACCCAATTTTTATAAATGTATATAAAATTGCAACTTATTACCTCGTATATTAATGATAATTTTGGTGTTTCATTCGAATCAAAATCCAATTGATGAATTTTAAACTCTCCTTTAACATTACCTCCGCTGGCCTTTTTACCAACTGTCACTATTGAGCATGAACTGGGTATCCATTGACAGCTAAATGGTTGATTCGTTAATTTGTTTGATACATAATTATGTAAAACCTCTTTGCTATCGTTATTAATATTATTATTGCTATTTGACATTTCAAAATGAAAAATAATTAAAAAAATTAAAAAAAATTTTAAAAAAAAAAAAAAAAAAAAAAAAAAAAAAAGTTAAAAAAAATAAAAAAACAAATAATTGATCATTTTGATATTTCATTGCCAAAAACAGTTAACCTTGCCAACGAAAAACGAAATAAAATACTTCGTAATAGATTTTTTTTTTTTTCAATCAAGATCTATTTTTATTAATTCGTAAAATTATAATAATACAATTTAAAAAACGAAAAGACAAACGGATAAATAAACGATAAATTTTTGTGCATCATCTATTCCGATAATTTTTATTTGAATTATTTAATCAAATTAAAAAACTTAATCTGTTATATATCTATTAATTTTAAGTTTTTTGTTATTACACACGTGCGAACCAAGTTCACACACGTGCGATTCAAGTTTTTTATTTTTTTACCACCCAAGTTTTTTAATATAATAAATAATTTGTGAAGAAATACTTAAAAAATATATATATATAATGTTTAATGATAACAAAATAAATATAAAAATAAAAAAAGGTATTTAATTTCTTAAGGGTTAAAACAAAGTTAGATGAGTGCTTTATTAGGTTTTTATTTTCTTTGGTGAGTCTTGGTTCTTTCGAATTTACGACCTGAGGCTCTGACCTATAAATCGGAAAAGAAAAATGAATAAAAATGTTAAAAAATGGTTTCATTTAAATGAATATATATTAATATTAGATATTTACGTATGGTTTAGCGTGACTGCCTGGGAGACCTGGGGCACGACCGAAATGTTTGTAAACTTCTCTAGCTTTAGTAACACCTTTGATTAAGAAAGTGTTGTTACCTCTTGGTCTGGTGAGGGCGAATTGATCGAATGAGAGGGCTTTACCACCAGCTTTAACAATTCTTGAACGAGCTGATTCAGTGAATCTAAGAGCACAGACGGTGAGTTTTGGGACATCTAATAATCTATATGGTTTAAAAATATATTGTTATTATTATTTTCTTGTTATTTTTTCTTCTCTTTTTTATCAAACACATACCTTTCATCATCAACGACGGTACCAACGACAACAGCGATTTTACCTTGCTTTCTGTCTTTCATTAAATTGGCAATTCTTGAGATTGAGACTGGTGGTCTGTTGGTTTTGGTTTGTAATAATCTCTTTAAAACAACTTTGTTGAATTTAGAGTTGGTTCTACGAGCTAAGAAACGGTATAACTATAATTTTGAAATAATGATTGATTAATATCCAATATCTCTATATCCTCTAATCCTATCATGTCCTATATCCTCTATACCTATAACATACCTTAACGAGTAAAGCTAAGTATGGGTTTTGACTAACTAAAGTCTTTCTACCGGTTTTTCTTAAGAATCTTTTTGATTTGTCGATGGCCTATTAATTAATTATAAAAAAATATTAGAATCATTTCTTTTTTTCATTCCATATCTCTTTCTCCTCAATGTATCTCTTTTTTTTTTTCTTTTTTTATTTTATTTGTTAAATCCAATTTATCTTTAATAATCTTGAGGATTAATTGAATATTGATGGATAACCAATGATGTAAGAGATAAATGATGATTGAGTGAGAAAAAAAGATTGTATATATGTGTGTGACATTACCATTTTTTCTCTCTATCTACGAATGACTACCCGTGTAAAAATTTTCTCTAACGACTTTGTCAAAAAAATTTTTTTTTTTTTTTTTTAATTTTTTTAATTTTTTTTTTTAAAATTTTTTTTTCAAAGCCCATATAAATTTGATGCACGCCCTCATTCGGTTTTGCATAGTATCATATCCTCTATATAAAAATAATAAACGTTACATATAAATTTTAATATTACAAACATTTTTTAAAATAATTTATATTTTATAATATATTTACTTTTATTAATATTATAATAGTTGTTTTTATTGATACTATTATATTTTATTATTATTATTATTATTTTTATTTTTATTTTTTTTGTTTATTTATTTATATATTTGTTTATATATTTATTATTTGATAAATATAAAACATAACATTTATATATAATTATTTTTTATTTTAATATTTTTTATTTTCTTATAAATAAGATTTTTAAATTTACTAATTTTTTACCTATTTAAATAAAATTAATTGTTTAAAAAAAAAAAAAAAAATCATTTTTTTAATTTGAAATTTTTTTTTTATTTTTTTTATAATATTATAAATACCAATTTAAAAATAATTTTTTTTTTTTTATTTGTTAAAGAACACACACTTTTATAATAAAAAAATATAAAAAAATTTAAAAACATGTCATATCAATAATTCTTTTTTTTTTTTTTTTTATTTTGTTTTATTTATATATTCATTTATTATTAATATAAATGGTTTGTTTATATTAATATAAAGATAAAGATAAATGATATTATTACTATTTTTAATTTCTATTATAACAATTTTAATATTTTCTTTAAAGGTATTTGACCAATAATAATAACAATAAAAATAATAATAATAATGGGTTTATAAAATATTAGTTTCTAATATTTTAATTTATTTATTCATGTAGGAAAATAGAATTAAGAAAATTAACAAGTTTATAAATGGACCAAAAGGATATCCAATTATTGGTAATTTGTTTGATTTAAAAAAGAATGGGTTGGAAATTCATGAAACATTTCATGAGTTGTATTTAAAATATGGGCCAATATTCAGAATTAGATTTGGGTCAATAGAAACAGTTATATTGTCGGAATATTCAACAATCAAAGAGTGTTTTATTGACAATGGAGAATCACTAACTGAGAGATATATTAGAAAAAGTAGATTAAGGGCGTCCAAGGGTTTAAATATTGGTAATGCTAATGGCGAGTATTGGAAGTTTCTATATTCAACTATATCACCAGAGTTAACAGCAACCAAGTTAAAAAAGGTTATTGAGGGCCATATCAAATGTGAAATTAAAGAGTATTGCAAGTTTATGGATAGTTGTTGCGAAAATGAAAAACCGTTCCACTTTAATCTTTATGCAAGGGTTTTTACTCTAAATTGTGTTCTAAGGTCATTGTTTAACATCAATTATCCATATGTTTACATTGACCCAAAGATTGACATTGGAACAAATCTCGGTGCTTCCTCTGCAGATGGTGTCGATAATGAAAACAACTCATCAATCAAAAAGTTAATAGATCTTATAGGTGACTATGTTCAAAATGGTGGGAAGGTTGTTTGGGGTGACTTTGTTCCATTTTTATATTTTTTCTTAAAAAATAAACCACAATCATTCTATTCAAGTTATGAAAATTTAAAGCAACACGTTTCAAAGTTTGTAGATAGGGCAATGGAGAAAATCAAAGATGAAGATTTTGATACTTACAAGCCAGAAAGCATTGCAGAGTCTCTTTTGATACAATATAAGAAGGGTAATATTGTTTATGACGCAGTGGTTACAAATTCAATGGATCTCTTATTGGGTGGTATTGATACCAGTGCAAATACACTCTGTTTCTCAACAATTGCAGTTTTAAATAATAATCTTCAAGATAAGCTTTATAATAGTATTTCAAATGGCCTTCATGGTGATACACAGGATGATGGTGCAGGTGGTACAGACAGTGAATCAGATTCTCATGCAGATAAAGATGCAAATAATAACACCAAGATATTTTTATACAGTAAATATAAAACAAAATTCAATTATGTGACGTTGGTATTAAGAGAAACTTTTAGAAGATATGCACCAGTACCTCTAGGTTTACAACATAGACTTACAAATGATATTGAAATCAATGGTTATAAAATTGCAAAGGGCACACAATTCTTTCAAAATGTTTATAGCTCCCATATGACAGCCAGCACATGGGCTGAACCAAAACAATTTATTCCAGAAAGATTTGAAAATAATAATTTACATCAACAGTTGTGTCATTATGGTAAATTATTAGAATATAATATTATTAACAGTGGTTTTTTTATATAAATTTATTAATATTGGTTTTATTTTTCTATAGGTATTGGACTAAGAAAATGTATTGGATTTATTATGGCAGATTCAGAATTGTTTAGTTTTTTATCAACAGTTTTCTACCGTTATCAATTTATAAACCCATCAAGTGATAAGCTAAATGATAGGGGTGGTTTTTCATTAGCATTACAAGCACCAAAGACAATTTTAAAAGTCAAGAAAAGATTAAATAAATAAAAAATCAAATAAAAACAGAATAGTACTGTTTAATATAAATATATATGTAATTTTTATTTATTTTTTTATTTATATCAATTTAATTAATATTTTAAAAAATCATCATAATACGCAGATAGATATATAAGGTATAAAAAACAAAATCTTAAATTTAAAATTAGTAAAAGGTCATATATAGGAGTAGTAATAAATATTATAAAAAATTACTAATAATAGTATTTTTTTTAAAATTTAAAAAAATAATTTTACTAAAATAATGGTAGAGATATTATTAGATATTAAAAAAAGTAGTTCAAATATTATATAGTTTAAAAATTTATTTATTTATTTATTTTAACATACCATAGGTATTTAATTTAATTTCTTTTTTTTTTTTTTATTTTATTTTTTTTCTTTATTGATGAAACTATAATAGTAAATTATTTTGATGATTTACAAATTTATTTTTTTTTATTTTTTTTTTATCTAGTTATTGGGGTGTTTGTTGTTTTTTTAATCTATAATTATGATGGGTTATAAATTTAAATAGATTGTTTCTTTTCTTTATTTCTTTTCTATTTATAATAAATGACTTCAATTTTATATTTATTAATTAATAAATAATATTTATAAAAAATTTAAAAAATAAAATAAAAAAATATTAAAAAATAATAATAATAATATTTTTTTATAAATCAATATTTTCTATTATTTTATATTATTATTAATATTATTAATATTATTATTTTTATTATTGTTATTAATTAATATATTTAAATCTTTCCAAATTTGTTACTTATTCTTTAATTTTATTTTTTTCAATTTTTATTTTATTTAAATAATTTTTATTTTCAAAAAATGATTAAAAAGTTACATTTTTTATTTTTATTTCTACTATTTTCTCTAGTTAAATCTCAATGCCAGAACCCACAACAAACTCAATTGTTTTTTTTAAGTAATGTTTTTTACAATAGTATTATACCTCTATCTGGTATAATCACAGGTCTAGCATGTTATACAGAAAGTAAATTAAATTTTATTTATCATATATAAAAAAAAAAATATTAATTGTTTTTTATTCAAAAACAGATGCAAAGGTACAAACATATACATTCCCAAACGGAGCATTAAATACTATTCCATCAGCTTTATTTAACAAACCCTTTAAAGGTCAAGTTGTATATCAAGGTATGTTTTAATAAATATTCATTTTAATAAAATAATTTTCTAATAATATTTTTTTTTTTTATTTTAGATTTTAAAAGAAATGGAATAGAATCAAATTTTACATCAACTGAAATTACACAAAATAATGGAATTACAACAGTTAAAATTATTGGTGCATATAAATAAAACTTTTTTTTTTTTTAAAAAAAAAAAAAAAAAAAAAAAAAAAAAAAAAAAAAAAAAAAATAAACCCAAAAAAGAAGAAAAATATTAGTTTTTAATTTTTTATTTATTTTTTTAATTATTTTTTTTTTTAAATCTAAAAAAAATATTTTATCTTTTAAATTGTTTTTTAATTTAAAATTTAATTATTTTCAAACTGAATTATTTGAATAATAATCTAAAAAACCATATTATTATATTTTTTTAATTTAATTTTTTTTTATAAATCTTAATTTATATGATTTTTTATATTTTTTTATTTTTTTATTCTTAAATAATAATCTTTTAATTATAATACATTGTAATTTAATCTCTCTTTTAGAATTTAATACAAAATAATTATTACATTAAATTCAAAAAATTTTAATTTTATTTTAAAAAAAGAATAAAAATATGAAAATTAATATTTTTTTTAAAATTATAATATCGCTATCATTTTTATTATTTGTAAATTGTTCTTGTCCAGCTGGTTCAAAGTCGAGCGATCCTATAGTATATGATTTGTTAATAGTTGGCGATAGTATTAATAATGAAATGCCAATAGTTGGGAAAATAAGTGGATCTGCATGTTTAATTCAAGGTATTATTAAAAGAAAATAAAAAAAAAAAAAAAAAAAATTTAATATTAATTAATTTATTTTATTTATTATTATAGATAACTCTATTGCTAATTATTATTTTCAAGAGGGAACTGTTAATACACTTCCAAATCAGATTCTTGGAGTTGAATTCTCAGGACAAGCAGTCTATAATGGTAATTATTAATTATTAAATAAATAAATATAATTTAAATTTATTAAATAAAGATAACTAATTTTTTAATTTCAAACCCCGAAAAAAAAAATATAGATGACAAATATACAATTTTAAGTTATAAATTTCCGTCTGCAATTTTGACAAAAGATTCAAACTCGGGTTTATTTACTCTTACCATTACCAATGGTAAAATTTATTTAAAATTATAATTATTTAAACAAAAGAAATAAAAAAAAAACTATTAATAGTATTATGACCCCCCATTTTATTTTAATATGAAAAAAAAATGTTTTTTGAAATTTTGTTAAATTTTAAAAAATCTAATCATCAAATGATTGTTTTATTTTATATTAAATTATAAAATTGCTTTTTTTTAATTTATTTTATTTTAATTTGACTTGATTTAAAAAAACTGATCAGTTTATCCTTTTGAAAATATAAAATTAAAATAATTTTTTTTTAAATTAATTTTTTTATTTTTTGACTCTTTTTTTTAAAAATTTTCATTTAAAAATAACCAACATTTCATCCACACTAATGTTTTTAAAACCAATTTAGTAATTTTTTTTTTAATCAAGTATTAAAAAAAATATATATATTTTATTTTTGTTAAGGTTTAAAAAAATAAAAGACTAACTTACAAAATTTTAACTAATTTACAATAAATAATTATTTTATTTTAATTTTAAAATTAAAATTTATAAAATGTAGTTATTTGTCAATCGTTTAGGTAGGTAATATTTTAATATTTAATTTCATTCATTTTTTGTTATTTTAATTGTTTCATACCGATAACTATTGTGTTATTCTATCTATCTTATATATTTAAATTCGTGTGTTCGTTTGGGTGTTTTATTAATAGTGTCCATTTTTTTTTTTTTTTTTTTAAGGCAATAAATAATTATCATTTTTTAAGAATTATATTATTATAAATAAATAAAAAATAATAATAAAAATCTTTTTTTTTTTTTTTTTTTTTTTATATTCAATAATTTTTATTTAATACGTAAAATTGTAGTAAACCCAATATTAGGTTTTATTTGTTAATTTATTCTTTTTTTTACATCCATTTTCTTTTATTTTTTTTATACATTCTATAAAAAAAAAAAAAACAATAGATATTAAATATTAATTATTATACAAATTAAAATCGATTTTAATTTGTTTTGTTCTATTTTCAAATTTTTTCTTTAAATTTTTTTTTTTTTTTATAAATACCAATATTAAAATACAATCCATTTATCATTTATTTATTTGTTTATTTATTAATAAAAATGAAAATTTTAAAATTATTTATTTTATTTTATTTTGTAGATCATAGTTTCTCAGTTAATGTGGAAACAGGTTTCAATTATTGCTCAGGTTTAAGATCTTCATTAAATTTTTTTAATGCAAATCGAGCTGGTTATATAAAGGATAATATTCTATACGATTGGCAAAATAATGTAACCACAAAACTAGATACATATAATGACCAGTTTGACGAAAATGGTAATGGTTTATTATCAGGAGGTTATTTTAACGATGGCAGTTATATAAAATCAACTTTTGCAATTGGTAGGAATTTTATAATAATAAACACTATATTCTTATTTTAAAAAAGTAATTATACTAATATTTAATATTCAATTATATAGCTCATTCTATGACATCATTAGGTTGGGCCTTTATGGAGTTTAAAGATAATATTAAATCATGTACTGGATTAAAAGATCAATATTTATCAACATTAAGATGGGGTTTAGATTGGTTGATGGCAGCACACCCAAGTGAAAATGTAATTTATGCTCAATGTGGTAAAAGAAGTGATTTGGCTAAATGGAATATCCCATCAAAGATCTATGATCAATACAGCGGAACACCAAAGCGTTCATGTTGGTTGGTCATCAATGAAAAAAATCCAGGTTCTGATGTAGCACACGAAATGACCGCTGCCTTTGCTGTATCCCATATGATATTTTCATTAGTTGACCCAGATTATGCCATCAAACTTCGTACCCATGCATTCCAACTTTATGACTTTGGTGCTAAATTCCCAGGCAAATTCTCAAATATTAAAAGCGTAGATCCAATTGAGTTCCATTCAACAGGTTATGGTGATGAAATGTATTGGGCATCTGCTTGGTTATATGCTATGACTGGTCAAAATAAATACCTCCAAGTTGTAAATAAACCACCATTCGACTTAACTTTCAATGACTCATCATCGGTAGCATACAATTATGACCAAAAACAAGCTGCTTCTATGGTTTTGTTAACAAAGAAATTTGGCTTTTATGAAAAACAAACCAAATCAATATTAAACTATTGGAGTACTTTTATGGGTAAAACTAAGGATGGTTTGTATATCAATGGGGCAGGTGTTTCTAACGGTTTTTCAATGGGTGGTTCATTTTTAGAGGCTATTTGGAATAATAATCAACCAAAAGAAAGGGTATTTAAAGATGCTTATCATATTGGCCAAATGAATATCATTTTAGGTAATAATAGCAATGGTATGTCTTATGTTTGTAATGTTGGATTTTTAGGTGCCTCCACTCCCAGAAATTTACATCACAGAGCTTCACATTATTCTATATCAAGTTCAATTTCATCACCTGCCATCAATACATATCCTTTAGATGGTGCTATGGTAGGGGGTCCAGTTGATTCAATGGATACTTATTCAGACGATAGAACTAATATTCCTATGAACCAACCTACAATCGATTTCAATTCACTCTTTACTGGTGTTATGGCTTCAATGATATTAAACGAAACTACTCCTGAACAACCAGATACCCCAACTACTGGCCCTTTCACTACAACTGGTACTCCACCACCAAATTTATCTACTACTGGAAGAAATCCATACACTTCCGGAACAACTAGTTATAGTAGCTCAACCTCATATAAAACTACATCACAATATACAACTACTGGAGGTACAACAAATGGTTATAGTACATCAGCTTATACATCTACCACTGGTGGTTATGGTTCAAGTTCCTCAACAACTACAACAACATCAACAACTACAACTACAACAACTACTACTATATCCCCAACAGATACACCATCAAATACTCCAAGTAACACTCCAAGTAACACTCCAAGTAACACTCCAAGTAATACCCCAAATAATACTCCAAGTAATACTCCAAGTAACACCCCAAGTAACACCCCAACCAATATTCCAACCAATAATCCAACAGAATCATCAACAGAATCATCAACAGAATCATCAACAGAATCATCAACAGAATCATCAACAGAATCACCAACAGAATCACCAACAGAATCACCAACAGAAAAATCAACAAATACACCAACAGAAAAACCAACAAATACACCATCAGATCCTCATACTGAAAAACCAACAAAACCACCCAAAAAAATACCAAAATCATCATCTGAATTGGAATTAACTTCCGAAGAATCCTCCTCAAATTCAAAATCAAATAACTCCCACATCCCAGATTTTAGTTTTAGTTTTGCCAATAAAAACAATAATAATCATTCGCTATATTGGCAAATAGCTTTTTCAATCCTTTTAATATTTATAATAAATTAAAAAACAAATATTTATAAAATGTAATAATATTTAAATAAAATTAAAAAAAAAAAATTATTTTTCGCTTTATAATTATAGTTTTATAAATAATTAATTTTAATTTTAGTAATTATTAATTATCTGTTTATTTATTTTGGTTAATTTTTATTATTAATAAACTAATAATCACTAATATTTGAAAGTAATGGTTCTTCTAAAACTATTGAAGGGTCAATATAGTTCGATTTTATAAACTCTATAGTTTTATCTGATATTTCATATTTGTTGATGTGTTTATCTTCTTTTTCTGAAGGAGGTGGATTATTGAGGAAATTGTTTACTTCTGGGTCACCATTACCATTATTTATAAGTTTATTATTTTGAATTAAAATTTCCTTTATATCATAGTGATAGAATTCGTATGGTCTTGATTTTTTGAATAAATTTATTACTAACAAAGGATCGTTTTTGATACAGCCTAAAATGTTTGAAAGTGTTTTTTGATTGATTGTTGTGAGAATTGTATTGTCTTTTGAGATAATTTCTAAAATTTTATCATATTTGCCCCATTTGTGTAAATCACCCAAGAAACTGTCGTAGAAATGAATTTTTTTATTTAAAAGATTTTGATCCAAATTCTCCAAAAGACCTTTCCAGATTTTAATATTCCTTTCATCGCTCAGTGGGAAGAGTTGTGGAAAAATATGACCCAAGACAATACGGATTGTGTCAACATGATGTAAACCCTCTTTATTTGAAATAAAAAAATTGTATGCTTCTTTTATTTGATTGTTGCTTAGGTATTTAAGTAAAATATATGAATCTATATTTGCCAAACCTTCAATTTTCATTAATTTATCAAAAATTTCTTTTGGGATATTGTACCTATGGTATCTACCACTATGAACTATATTTCTTGCAACTGGAGATATTGAGATATTATTTCTGATCATAGTTAAAAGCATTTTGGTAGCCAATTCAAATTGTCTATTTCCCAATAATAAATTGACAACTAAACGTTTTATATTATTTGATTTAATTATTGAATTTGCTTGTTTTTCCAAATATTCGATACCTTCGTTAAAATCTCTGTGGATGAATGTGTTGAAGAATGCATGATCAAATACTAATGAGTAGGTTTCTGATGGGAAGTTTAAGGAAAATTTCTTGTAAAGGTCAAAGTCTCTTCTTATTAAATATATTGAGTTAAAAAGATATCTAATTGGTGGCATATAGTTATGTTTAAAATAAACTTCATTTAAATAGTCTACTAGTTCGAGTCTGTTTGATCCTTCAATTAATTTTCGGAGATGTGAGTCATCATGAATTATTTTTACAATTGATCCTTCTTTATATTTTGGTAATACAATATTTAATGCGAGTAGATTTGAAGTGATTGTTTTTGGATTTAAATTTTCATCAACCAATGTAATTTCTGATACTATATTTGTCATTTTTGGCTTTGATTCTTCATTGTTGAATATTTTATCGTTTGTTCTGGATAGGATTGTTGTTAAATTTAATTCTAATGATTTAAAATTATTAATATAGTCAAACTGTTCTTTTGAATATTTAATAAATGAATCTAGTTTCTCTTGAGTGGGATTTGAGGATGGGTCGGAATAATCTTGTAAACAATTGGTCCAAATTCCCAAAAAGAAGGAATTAGTAGTATAAATACGTACTTCACTATAAATAAAGAAATAAAGTAATGATTCAATATTGGTACTAAAAGTGTTGACATAGGTTTGAAGCCAAAAGAATGCTACATTAAAATTCCTGAAGTGTAAATTGATTGGAACTAAAAATGATAAAATTTCATCTCTTTGAGTGATCGGTATTTGTGGATCGGTTATATTGCTTAATAATCTAAAAAAAATATCTTCTTTTTTTTTATTTTGGTTGAAGTATATTAATAATGAATACCAACGATAATCTTTCTGAAGAATATAATTGACAAAGAATTGTTCAGTCTCTTTGTACCCCATATAGTAACATGTTTCGAAAATAACTTGAAATGCTTCAATTTCCAATGTTCCGATTTTGATTAATTGATCTAATAAAATTCTTACATTTGAAGCCTCATTATTTAGAATAGCTCTATGAAGTAAACTAAATGTTATGGTTGGTGGTAAATTATTTAAATCGATGGCGTTTAAATTTAACTGTTGTGGTTGTTGCTCTGATTGTATTTGTGACATTGGTGTTTCTTCATTTTGATGAGATTCTGAGGATTGAAAGTTTAATTTTTTACTGATAAATTTTGCTACATCCCTTTTTTCTATATACATTTTAAAAACTGAATCATATCTTTGAAAATCTCTTTTTGAAATTAAAAATGCCAAAATATTTTCAACTGTTTGAAAATCTACAATATAGAACTCGAATACTTCATCCAGTATATTTTTGAATGGATGGTTATAGTACTCCAACACTATGCTGTCTCTTTTTTCAACTTCGAAATCATAGAATTCTTTTAGAGCCCTTAAAAATAAGTCGTTGTTTATAAAATCTGGGAAATAATGGATGTTATCTCTAATGAATAAAAAAAGTTCTCTTGTATTGTAATGTTTGCGTTGTAACGTATGGTATATTATCTTTTTGAAATATTTGTAAAATATTTTTGAACCTTCAGTTTTATACGGTAAACTTTTAAAAAGCTCTATACTTTGCTCTGTATCTTCAAGTGCTAAAAATTCTTTAATACTTTTAAATACATCTGAAAATTCTCCTGTAGTTTCTTCAAGAAAGTCGTCTTTACTATTTAAATTTGAGGTGATAAAGTATTTTTTATTATCTATATTTATATTTTTAATATTTATTGTTTGTGTTTTACTATTTATTTGGATATTATTTTTATTATTATTATTATTATTATTATTATTATAGTTTTTATTTGTGTTGTCTATTCGAAATTTTGTAAAATATCTATAATTATTTATAAATTTAATATTATGCTTTAACTTTAAAACATTGTTTGCATCTAAAATTAATCTATTCATTTTGTAAAACAAAATGAAATGGAAGAAATGAAAAAAAATTAAAAAAAAAAAAAAAAAAAAAAAAAAGGGATACTCATAAAAAAGAAAAAAAATTACAATTTTTTTTTGTAAATAAAAAAAATAAAACAAAATAAATTAAAAAACCTATTAGGAAGTTCGCTTCGGTCTAAAATATTGTCCTACCCCATGTTTTATTTATGTGTAAAATAATACCTAACGAAATTAAATAACATAATTTAAACACATTTACATTATAATAATATTTTCTTTTTTTTTTTATATACATAAAGAATAAATTTTATTTGTGCTTCATAATTTTTCAACAGACGTTATTTTTTTAAACCTTGCCTTCTTTTCCTTTTACTACAAAACATAACAAATAATAAAACCAACATGACATCCTCCAACTATAAAAGCTATTAAACTGATAAGATGTGGAAAATAAGGTTTGCTACGAATATCACCTGGTATACAACAAATAATTTCATATTGATCAAAAAAATTTGGTTTATGAATTTTTTGTGTATCTTTTATTCCTGCAAAGTCCCTGATCCAACTATCTATTTTATATGGTTCTGCTGTTAGCTCTAAAACTCTTGACCCTTGCATAAACTTTGTATTGTATGATCCATAACCAGATTTCCTTCCATATCCCAAGTCAATTCCATGATAATCCCCGTGGTAATCATTTCCATGATCGTGGCCAAAATATAAACCTTTTACATCACCTTGTTCTATGAAAGTATCAATAAATTTGGACTCATCAGTATAATAGCAACAAATTTCAGAATCTTGAAAACTACCATACACTGTTCCATGGTTCCATAAATCTACAACTTCATAGGGTGGGATGTGGACAAAAGCTATAGCATCCTTTTTGTTATTAGTATTTGATAGATTCTTGTACCACTCTACTTGAGGTTTTTGAATGCATCCCCACACTTCATTATTTCTACAACCTGGTGTGTCACTATCAAAAATATAAATAATTGATTGTGCTTTACTTGAATCGCTAGAATCTTTACCATTGTAATTATAAGGAAATATATTTAAATGATAATTGGTTACTCCAGGTAGTCCAATAGTAGGGTTTATTTGTGTTAAAGATAAATTATATGACATATCAATTTCAGCTATTTTTTTACAAGTTAAAAATCCTTCGCAATCATGGTTTCCGAATGTTATAGCCCAAGGTATACCTCTTTTGATCATTGGTCCTGTAACCAAATCCCATACATCGGTGTAGTTTTTTTTTTTATGATATTTATACCCACTAACAATGTCACCTGACAACATTACGAAATCCGGATTTTCAAAATCTAAAATTGCCTCTAAAAATAAAATAAAATTAATTTCTATAATCTAGCTAATTAAATTTAACTTAAATTATATTTACCCTCTACTTTTACATTTAACTCGTCAAATACCTCTTCCTCACCATAGTGTAAATCGGTAAATTGAACAATTTTAAATTTATTATCTTTATTATATTTTAAAATAGGTTTATTATTTACATCATAGATTGCTCCAATATGGGAACTCTCTATATTTTTTTGATTGAATTCCTCTGTTCCACCACTATTTAAATTTTGGCCGTTATTTTCCTCACTATCGTAAATATTTTTTTTTGAAGGTAAATCTATATTATTATTTTTTGAATATGTTACATCTACTAACTTTATTATTATTATTGATAAAATTATTAAAACAAATATCTTTTTATTTTGTAAAAACATTTTTTTTAAATTTATTAATTGATTCATACAATTATTTTTGGTTTGGTGAATTTCTTAAAAAAAAAAAAAAAAAAAAAAAAAAAAAAAAAAAAAAAAAAAAAAAATTTTTTAAAAAAGGTTAGGGTTGGTTTAAAATTTTTTTTTATTTTTAGGGGGATATATTTTATTATTATATTATATGAAAAAAAACCTTTAAATTTTTTTTTTTATTTTTGTGAACCAGTGGTCGGTGAAAAAAAAAAAAATATTTTTAATTTTTGGAAAGCAAGGATTATAAATATTTTTTTTTTTTTTTTATTTTTTAGCATCTTTATTTTTTAAGAAAAAAATAAGTCAAATACCCCTTAATTTAACACGTATTTGCCCTCAATATTTTAAATATTATCTCAATATTTTAAATATTATCTCAATATTTAAATAATACTTCAATTTATAAATTATTCAATTTTATTATATTTTACAAATAAAAAAAATTATCTTTATCAATAATCAATTATCAATTATAAATAAAATCATTTTTCTAGCCTATATCAAGGATCTAAACCAAAATAATTTCCCCAAACCTCACACCAATAATTCAAGTTTTATTTTTTTTTTTTTTTTTTTAATTTTTTTTTTTTTTAAAATAAAAGCAAAAATTTAGGAAGAAAAAAAAATGCGACTATCGCAAAAATTAAAAAAGAAAAGAAAATTAAAAAATTAAGTGGAAAAATAATTGAAAAAAAGTAAAGAGAAAATAAACACTTAAATCACTTTAGTTTTTTTTTTAAAATTTAATTTTTTTTTTTTTTTTTTTTTTAAAAAAAAATTAAAATAAATTTTATTAAGCTTTTAGTTGTAATTGTTGTAATTGTTGTTGTTGTTGTTGTTGTAATTGTTGTTGTTGTTGTTGAATTAATAAAATATTTGATAAAGTGCTTGTAATATCTTTTCGGGCGATAATTACAATGATTCCTTCTTTTTTACCAACCACATAACTACTAACTGGTGATGCCAATGAGATTCTTTTTTCAAATGAACCTTCTAAAAATTCTTGTCTTTGTAATGATGGTGGGAAACTAACGGGAATAGTCATTTCACTTCCATTAGGTAGATAGATTGTATCTGGAATTGAGATAATACCTTCGACAATAACTTCATTTTGATTAACGGTAACCTTTAATGAATTATCTTGTGAGTGAGGAATTGCAACATAAATAGTGAAATCATCAGGATTGTCGTAAACGTTTACCAATACTCCACTATTAGCATCATTCCAATTATTTGTATTAGAGGATGTTGCAGAGTTGGTAGCAGAGGCACCTAATGATGAATTTGTTATTAATGTTGAAGATAAATTCTTATTATTATTATTATTATTATTATTATTATTATTGTTGTTATTATTATTAAAAACCAATGATTTATTAGCATCATTTAATTCATTTTCATCACTAATTATATTTGAATCGAATTCATTAAAATTAAATGAGGATAAAGTTTGTAAACCATTGTTATTCATTGAGGGTGATTGTGGATTTGAGTTTGGTGATGATGCATTGGTATGTAAATTTGTAATAACGGTTGGACTACTTGTGGATAACGTTGGTAATGATGAT